TTATGTTCAAAAATGTCGATAAAAGCCATGCTTTTGGCAAAACAGCGACATGAAAAACATCTGCTTTCCTATTATATTTGTTCATAAACTATCATTATTTCAGATTAATGGATTATTGAGTATAATTGATATAACTACTTAAAAACGTTAATAATATAGGCGAATAGATGTAATGCAATTCATGAGAATTTTCTAGCTTAATATGTAACTAATAAAGGAAAGTAAACATTGCGTAATATATTTTCTAATTATTATTCTTCCACTAATAATCGAGACTTAGGCTCGAATATGGTCAACGCTTCACGCACCGCCTGGCAGTGGTACCACTTAACGAAGAAAATAAAAGAAAATAATGGCTGACCGGTTGTTGCAAAATTCGGAGCGCCGATACTGTGGTGCCCGTTTTAGCTGTTGATAATTTCTTCGAACATATTGAAACAAAAAATTCATTTAGCCCTAAACCATAGTGCAAACTATAGGGAATAGCAGATAAATACTAAATTTTGAATATTTCTGTCTTCAAATTCAAATTTAAAATCTCCATTGAATTGTCAGTTTTCTGCTATGAATTATTGAAGTTTTCGCAATATCAAATTTAAAATATTTGTTTAATCGATTTGTTTCATTTCAGTGATTTTGTAAGAACCATAAATTTTTAAAAGAAAATTGGAATTTCGTCGCAAAACTTAAAATAAATCACAATAAAATCGAGCGACTTTATATTACTTTAAAATGAATAAAAAATGTTTTTTAGCGAGTTCTCGAAAATTAAAAAATTTCGAGAACTTTAGATTTTTTCTTAGATTTACTTACTTTTTATTTTTACTGACTTTTTACTTTAGATTTCATCGTATCTTCAACTTTTTTGTTTGCATATCATCGCTTTACATTGGTGCAAGTTTGTGTATATAGGGAACTGCAGACTCTTTCGATAGAAACCTGTTGGCCATCAAGGCTGCGTCCTTTCCCCTACAATATTCAATCGCTTGTCAGTACACAAGAGATGTATATAATTTAAAATTATTAATCCATCAACTTAAGCAATCTACGAGCGATTCGTTTATCTAAAACATCTCGCCATTGTTATTAGTTCTTTGTTTTATTCTGATAATTGCGGAATTTTATAAAATTTTCATTTGAATTTTTAACAATTACATAAATAAATTTATTTATTATTGATTGCATAATACATAAAGCATTTCGCATGAGCGGAATTTTGCTAAAATTAAAGCCGAGAATCGTGGATGGATGGATTCGATTCTTACGTCAACATGTTTCGAGTAAATCTTTCATTAAAAATGAATTCCTCAAAGCTTAAAATTCATTAAAAATAAAATATATGTAAAATTAAAGTCAACTAAAAATGAATGAAAAACTATAACGAAATAAATATTAAAAATAAACTATTTCAATGAATTAGAAATTATGAAATAAAAATTGCGCGAAATAAATAAATATGAATATTAATTCTAATTCATTTTTTACAAAAATCTTTTTAAATCCTTTTTTAAATCCTTTGTGGCGAAAAATCGCGCATTTCGAGATTATTAATTCCAATTTCAAAACAATATTCATTGAAATTTTTCGCACAAAAATTATAGTCGGTAATATTTTTGGAATTTTTTCATTGTATAATTTTGAATTGCATTCATTTCAATATAGTCTGATATAAATTGTTTACTTATAAAATTCGGATGAATATTAATGGTATTTGAAAATTCATTGAAAGCACTTCCGATGCAAAAAAATATTTACAGAACCTAAACTTTAATGCAAATTTATTTCGAGCGATGAAATAATTTTTCACTAAGCGGATTCACGAAGCGGACATGGCATAGAAATCCATTCTCCGTTGACATTGTGCTGAATAATCCAATTCGTCTACTTAAACAAGTCGGTGATTATCATTCGCGACTTCGCTAATCTACAAAATGCTGGCATTAATCGTTCCTGTGACATTCGCATTAGTAGGTTTTGCTTTTCGTTTCTAATTTAGGGAATTTTAATGAATAAATAGCGAATCGGTAACTGCGCGCATCTAAGGCTATTTTAAATTGTTAATAAAACTAATATGAAAAATTTCTAATAAATTAAGATTTATTCCATAGATTCTTTCGTTGCCAATCATTTCCTTATTTTACATTTCGATCTAATACAACCAAACATTCGCTGAGGATTTAGAGACTCTTTGCCTGACTATTTTCACATTTAAACACTATGAGCATCATCAGTGAAATTATTGACTTTAGTTTGTGCGACCATCAATCGCCGTCGTCGGATCAACAACGACACTAAATTACAACGAACAATATTCCATAACAAGTACACCGTCATCTAATTCAACGAATATAGCCAATAACTCTTCAACCATTGAATTGACAAAGGTTATCCTTTAGAACTGACAATCCGCGAACAGAAACCATACGTTTCTTTTAAAAATTGAAAATTTTAATCGTTCCTGTGACATTCGCATTAGTAGGTTTTGCTTTTCGTTTCTAATTTAGGGAATTTTAATGAATAAATAGCGAATCGGTAACTGCGCGCATCTAAGGCTATTTTAAATTGTTAATAAAACTAATATGAAAAATTTCTAATAAATTAAGATTTATTCCATAGATTCTTTCGTTGCCAATCATTTCCTTATTTTACATTTCGATCTAATACAACCAAACATTCGCTGAGGATTTAGAGACTCTTTGCCTGACTATTTTCACATTTAAACACTATGAGCATCATCAGTGAAATTATTGACTTTAGTTTGTGCGACCATCAATCGCCGTCGTCGGATCAACAACGACACTAAATTATAACGAACAATATTCCATAACAAGTACACCGTCATCTAATTCAACGAATATAGCCAATAACTCTTCAACCATTGAATTGACAAAGGTTATCCTTTAGAACTGACAATCCGCGAACAGAAACCATACGTTTCTTTTAAAAATTGAAAATTTTGATTTGATAATTAATTGACAAAAAATTTGTGAATTATGAATTGCAGCTCACAAGAGCACCAATTAAGTATATTCTAAGCCTATGTGATAGAAGTGAATGCCCCATAGATATGGTGCAAAAAGTGAAGAAAAGAATTTTTCACTGGTGCTCTTATACATGTGAATGCGCCAAGGGTTTCGAAATGAAGGGATTCAGCTGCCAAAAGCCTATTACGTCTACTGAATTAATGACGGTAAGCCTTTTTCAAAATAAAGGTAAAATTCATTTAAATGCACTGGTCACATTAAGTCTTATGAATATGTAAGGTCTTATATAAGACTCCAAGGCAAATTCAATACAAATTAAGTAACAGTTTAAGTTACAAAATACCTAGGGACCCCAGTTAAGAGAAGTTGAAGCGTTGCACTGAATTTCTATTAGTGAAATGAACCAAAATTTATTAACATATTCTAGATTGTTCCAAAGATAGTCGCTTACGTCCGTCGATCTTGCGGTGTAAACATGATCCAAGTTGAACGATGTAATTATCATCCTATTTCCGGTTTTATGAGAAATTGCCAAGAAATATCCAAATGTGCTTGCGAAAATGGATACTACTTTATTAGCGATGGCTTATGTTCAAAAATGCGGACGAAAGCCATGCATTTGGCACTACTGGCGAAGCAAGCAAAAATAGCGATACGAATTTAAATAGCAATTGAAATCGCAAAATTTTTTTTTTAGTTATTACAAAAATTATTTATAGATCATAGATAAATAACGAGACGATTTTTTCAACGATTTATTGCAAATAATAAAAGATTCAAAAAATTCAAAGATCCAACAGAATACGGTTGGTGAAATAGAAACTAAAGAAATAACGAGAAATACACTGTTGTTGCACCGCGTATACCGTCCGAATGGCGTCAAAATATTAGCCGTTAACAGTTTTTTTAAAGAAATTCGAAATAAAAATTCCCATCGAAACCATCAATGGAATGTTAGACTGATAGAAAACTAAAATTTTGTAATTCTATTTTCGAACTTAAATTTTGATACGAATCGCAAAAAAATTGGATTTCATATTTTTTGTTATAAATTACTGGAGTTTTCAACATTAAAGAATTGAATTGCTTGGACGATCATTCAAGAACTTTTTTAATTTTTCTACGGCATTTGAAAAAAATTTAATTTTTTTGGTTCTATTAATTTCGGTACCTGTTTAATTTCTTTCGCAGAGTTTTTATTGAGCGACATGGAATATGCTTCCAGAGTTTTAGCTAATTTATAATATTGTTAGGAATATTATTACAGGATGCTTATTTCTTGAGGGCTATAAACGATATTATTAAAAGTCTAATATAACAGGTTCGAGAGGCCTATTCGTTTTTGCGGCTAAGAAAACTCCTCTAAATACTTAAAGGAGCCAAACTGACTCAGAAATCGTACCCATTGTTAGAAGAACAACAAATTCATCGATAATTTCAATAAATCCTCTTGCAATCCTTGATTTCTATTAATCCTCCTCAATCAACTCCACTGTATTCTATTCTACAAGACTGAAAACAAAGAAAAGTCCAAATTCAATCCCAGCAAGAATCATATTTATCGCAACTATTTCGTTATTCTTCATTTAAAATCATTAATAGAAAAATGAATTCATTGTTATAATTTATAGCATTTCAAATTTTTTAAAAACTATTCAACAAATCTTTGCATTCTTTTATTGATTTATAGCCTCATTATTTTAAATTATATCTCTCTTCTTGGGAAATCTCATTTTTTTAATAGTTTTTTCATAATTATTTTAAAAAAATTTAATAGCAAAACTTAGCTACTAAACTTAGCTACTAAATTATATTCTGGAGAACGATAAATTTAAAATGTACATGTATATATTTCCTTGTTTCGCTCATTGCTCATAAAGCAAAAATTCAGTGCCATGAACGAATCACATTAGGATTTAGGCGACTTGGGCTTATTCAACATAGATATGTTTTCGTCGGCAGTTGAAATCATTTTTTGAATACGCGCAGATTATTGTGGAAAGATATTTGCATGTTATTTAGATCGCATGAAGTGATACCACAATGCTTCCTCTACTTTTAATAATATGAAATTATTAGAAGGATTTTGCTTCAAATGCCTTTACTATTGTTCAAAATCTCATCGACCTTATTTTAATAAGCTCGAAGTACTGCAAGGCGCTCAGCCAAACTTTTTCAAAATAAGAACTTAATTTACAAAATATCTAGGGAAAAGCCAGTTTCATGCGACTTATTGTGCAAATAGGTTTGCGCAAATCGATGAGAGATCTTTTATAATCTTTTTGGTGCTTATGGAACCTACGAAGTTTACTATGTTTAAACCTGGTGAGCTGTTGACTTTAGTGTACTTTAGTGTATCTGAATGTTAAGGAATCGCTGCTTCAAAATGTTTAGATGAATTAGATGAATTCTTTCTGCAAGATTCGCAAATCTATGATTGTTTTTATCGCTGTTCTGTTTCTACGCTCTAATATTCATTTTAAAAAATGAGGTTAAAGATTTAGTTAGCAAATCGTTTTGTAATTAGAATGTGTGAGATCATAATTATAGTACGATTTCATGGTTCTTTCTTTGGATTATCAACAATTATAATCATTTTTTACACTGTTGTACCCCTACAGAAGCTTATTGTCTATTTAATTACATACTAAATTTGTATATTCGAATAAATCGAACATTAATAAATGATATGTTCCAGATTCTTCCAAAGATAATGGTTTACGTCCAACGATCTTGCGATGAAAACATGGTCTATACTGAACTGTGTGGTTATCCTATTTCCGATTATAAGAGAAATTGTCTAAAAATATCAAAATGTGCTTGTGAAAATGGATATTATTTTATCAGTGATGGCTTATGTTCAAAAATGTCGATAAAAGCCATGCTTTTGGCACTACTGGCGAAACAAGCAAAAATAGCGACACGAATATAGCAATTGAAATCGCAAAATTTTTTTTATTTTATGACAACATCAATTATTCATAGATGATATTCCAATCAGATTAAAGTGCTCCCCAACCCCCTTCCTCGTTTTTCAACACAAAACCCTCTTCGTAATAGAATATTTTACAAATTGAAAAATTAATTAAAAATTAAAATTTTAGATTTTGCAAATTACAGTAAAATTGAGGAACATTTTTGGCTATTTGGGATTAAAAATAAATATATTTTATTTTATATTTTATTAAAAATCAATGCAATGTATTTATTACAATAATCATAAAAAAATTTTTTATAAGTTAATTGAATGTAACTATACGATAAATAAAAATACGATAAGGATCAGTGATGTTCCTGAGACAAAGCAAAAAAAAATATTTCAATGAAATCAACAAAACTTCGGGACCTTCAAATCACAAATTTTTTTGGTCATACGTAATTTTTTTGGTGATAATTGATAATATATCAATCGCAGCAAAAACCTATTCCTATATTCCTTTATTTTTATTTTTTGCAATTTTTTTTCTTTATGAAAATCCTTCAACCTTGTTCCGTATAAGCATTTAAAACAAGAAAAATATGAAGATGTTGGTCAACGCATGAGCGCAACCTGGAATAACGCACTAATTCTATTGCTCTTTTATGATTATATATTATATATATATATATATATTATATATAAAAGAAATAAGCGATTAGTACACATAAAATAAAGATTCATGCAAAAATTACCTTATCATATTTCAATTTAGTTATTTACTTTTAAGGCGGGTAAACATCGCTGAAATAGGATAAATGAAATTAATTATTAACATATTAACAGATTATCACTAAATTACACTAATAACAGCAACAAATCAGTGAAAATTAACGATACAATAGTAAGCTTAATCCAGTTGAACCTGAGCCAAGCTTCCTTATAATGAAAGCATAATAATAAAAGCAATTTAAGGAAATACTTAAAATTTATAGAAGATAAATTATAATTTTGGAAAAAATGGAATATTATCACCCATCTTTTATCATTCAATCATTTTATATTTTATATTTATTATTTAATGTAGTATTATTATGTTACAATTAATGCTTCAACCGACTTATCTGCATTCTCCTCCTATCCAATTCATTTCACTCTGCAAGTAACCACCCGTCAGGTATAGCAAGCTTTGATGTTGATTGTGAATGGTTTCTTATCACCTTACCTCTTGATTAATAATTTTAATGATAATTTATTATTTTATCTTTTCTATTTCTCTTTCAATTTAATAATTAAAGAAAATGTTCTGTACAATCCAACTATATATTATAAAACCTTTAAAAGTTAAAATTGATATTGACGAAGATACAATAAATGAACGTTTCAGAAAGTATTATTTTATATTATTTTTATTTTATTTTTTTTATTTTATAAGCTTTCTAACAATTAAAGTTGAATTAAAATCCGCGTCCAAGATTCTCAATCGTTTTACTGCATTTTTTACTTATTTTACATAATTATGTAGTTAGAATTTGCATCGAACTTCATTATTCATAAATGACAAAATTTTTAAAAAATAAGAAAATTCAAAGCAGTATGCCGGTGCAAATCATTGCCATTGAAAAAAGTCGCGAATATTTAATTCTCTAAAGGTGATTTCCTGAGGGATTTTCGGTATTTCAGTTTATGTTAATATCGAAAGGTTACTTTCCACAATGAAATGATAAGCTAAATGCACCTCAAATGTGATCAATTTTACCTATTTTCACCTTAAATCTTGCTTACTTTATGGCTATTTTTAATATTTATATAGCTATGTACAATAAAATGAGTGAAGAAGAACATCAAAAAATGAAATATTTCTGCGGTCTATTTTTACAAATTAGAAAATAATGCGACAAATAATGCGAATTGACTTGCAAGTATTAATTAATTGTTGAAAAGATTGCGAAAGATCGGATGGAAGCACAAATTATATAACGAAATCTTTAACGGTATATTAATGCCGACACTCGTTAAGTGAAAATAAGCATTTTTGTGAAATTTTGCATTATTAATAAATAATAAAGCTATAAAATTATAATATTTAATGGAACTTGTGAAATGATATAAAATGATAAATGATAATGATATGAATGATATGATATAATGATAAATGAATGATAAAATGATATGATGAATGATATTTTCTTTTCAATCAATTTGCTTATTTTCCAATTTTGCAAATATTTCGCTTATTTCGACGAAATAAATTTATGATAAATTTACTTCATTTGATAATTTTCTGTTGTTATCAGTTGATTTCGACGTAAATATATATTATTCCCGTAGTTTTAATTTAACTATTATTTCATCTGCTCGAATTTTTAATTATCAATACATTTCGTGAAATTTTTGCAACTTTTTAATATAAGTAAATTATAAATATATAAGAAATTTTGATATTTCTGTACAATTAATTTTGCATATTTAATCATTTTAATTTACTTTAATCGATTTATTTTTGTTTAAATAAAAGTAAAAACGAGTAATTGATAAGTGTTTATTCGAATATTAATTTAATGAATTCTAAATTCTATCGACAATTTTCTTTGTATAAAATGTATTGATAATCTTACAAGAATTTAAGCAAATTTAACAGAAATAAATCGAATAAAGTAAAAATTAGTAGAATCGTTTAATCTATTTATTTATTGAAAGCCAGCCAAGCACGGCGACAGCGCCACGTGCTTGCATTAATAACAACAGTATTAATAAAAAAAAAACAAATAATAAAATTTAATAACAAGAAAAATAGAAAATATGGCAGTTTAAAGAGGAAATAAAAAGGAAATTGCAAAATAATATAGTACAATTCGAAAATAACTGTAACATATATAGACGTATGGAAAAGATTTCATTAATGTTACAAATAAAAAATCATGAGTCCTTAATTTAGTTTTACACATAGGTTTTAGTATTGGATTCAAATTTAGCCTAAAATTATAATATTTTGAATAATCTAATTTAACATAACCATACAGAATCTTATAAGTATAAATTAAATCTTCTTTAACACGACGAACTGACAAAGAATCCAGGTTATATTGTAGAAGTTTTCTCTTATAATAAAAATTGCAATTGGCAGAGAGGCGCCGTATGAAATATTTTTAGAATCCTTCAATTATTTCATTCGATTTACGATATCTCGGGGAGTAAAAAATAATAACGAAGAGATCTGTTGTATGGTAAATTGGAATTTTGTATTTAATAACTATTAAATTAGAATAAAAATTAGGAAATTTAGGAAATTTATTCTTGATTTAAATTAAATTACTACAGAAATAACTCTCAGGAATTTTTTTCCTAATGAAAGCTTTGGAAAAAATATTGCCTACGCACATGGCATATTGCAATTTTTAATAGTAATTTTTGCGTAAATATTTAAAAATTGGTTCGATAAAAACTGCAAATCATGCCGAATTAAAATTAATATAATTAAATTAATTACTTAATATAAAAGGCTCTGAAATTGCCTTTGGGGCGTTTCAAAGCAAAGGTTTACTTATAATCATTATAGTATAAATATTTATTGAAAAAGAACAATAATCCTTAACAACTAATACTTTATAGTTTATAGCACAGCTTGCTTCTAATTTATAATCTAAAAATAATTTAATTAATTAAATGGTTTTTGACTTTAAAAAAATTTCTATGATATCCTTCAATAAGTTTGGTTCAATAAGTTGAGGGCGGTATGTTTCCGCCGTAATCTCGTCGACTCACCTGAGGTAAGGAAGACTTGAGCTTCGCTTTTAATATTGATTTAATGTTCTTTTTACAATATTTTTTTGGTATTTTCATCGGCAAATTGCGGAGATTCACCGAATTTGTTGTACTAATAGTATGCTCATATCTCCTTCATAATCACATTATATTTTAGAACGTAATTTGTGGATTTAGAGAATTTGGCTTTAATATAATTCCAACAAGAAACGTTATAATTAGAATATAATCAGAATTAGAATATAATCATAAATCGCTTTACTAAGGGATTTTAGAAATATTACAGTGGAATCATCTAAATTTTCCATCTAATTCTTGAAACTAAGTGATATATTGGATTTTGGAAATTTTTTATCAGCAATAGGTTCTTCCAAGAAAATATTCTTTTCTAAATTAAAAAATTTTACGCTGTTGTAAAATATGTTTTTAAATTGTATCTATTTTTTTTATATTATATATTTATTATTTATGAGATAAATTTTGATCTATAAAAAGAAAATATTGCTCAAAATTCTTAAAATACCTGATTTTTGATCATTTAATTTGAAAGAAAAAATAAAGCATATAATCCGAGTTTATATTTCACCAATTTACGACTCATTAATTTTATTGTCAAAATCTCTGGAATATATATTTTATTTGTTTAGTAATGGAAAAACACATAAAACTACAATTTCATCAATTAATTAATTTAAAAAGAAGGCAGTATTTTGCCAAAATTTTTTATTGTTATAAGAAGAGGTCTTCATGACCGATCAGCAATAAAAGAGCAAAATTTCAAGCAATAAATGTTCTTCAAATATTTGGTATTACGAAGAATTCAATTATGATAGTATTTATTATTAGATCTTTTCGAATTTATTTCGCAATTTTTGCAAATTGCGAAAATAATCTACAAAAATTACAGCTCTCATCCCTTACCAATATATTTGCACTTTTTCAGCCCTCTCAACAGCTTCCTCAAAGAAAAATATTCTAGAAAATAGGAAGACCTCGAAAACGTCTTCTAATGCTTCATTATTGCTTCCAAACTTTTGTTCAAACTTTTATGCAAATAAAATAAAAAAACTCGTAACTCGTATTTGTTCAGTGTAATATGTGAGAAAATAAAATACAATTGCAAATTTATATCAAAACGGAAACGAGAAATTCATTGTATATTATATATTATATATTATAAATTTTTTAAATATTTGTTTTGTATGATTAATATTTTTAATTAAAAAATTTATTTTTAAAATAACGAATAAAACGGTTTGTCATTTAGTCTTCGCTTCGCTTATCAAAATAGTTTCATGAAAATTTCGAGCGACTGACATTGATTGATAATGCTGGATGTTATCACGTTAATTATTGATTATTGTTAGAAGTTTTTGATAATCACGAAAAAATCTCGTTTGATGAAATACTCGAAGAATTTTGGAGGACAGTTAATCTAATTTTCGCCAATAGTCTATTCCAAGAGCTCTAACTATTTCTGAAGTGGCCGAATGGTGAAGGTAACTGCAAATATGAGCAGATCATCCGCATTCTGCTACATGACTGTTTCCAAGCGAGAATATTAAGAAAATAAAATAGACAAGAACTGGAAAAGACTTTGGAAAACATCTAAGAATAATAGTAGAGTGCCTCATAATTGAGTGGTACGATAAAAATATATTCTAAGAGAATAGAAGAAGAATAAAAATATTCCCCCCGCCTAAAATCTCAAAACGAATGTAAGCTCCCAAGAGAGCACATCGGGCACTTTTAGTTTGTTTTTTGGATAGGAAATGTGGAAATGCGGAAGAAATGAGTGTGGGAAGCGGCTTGTGGACCTGGACAGCGTTGAGTACGAAAGTTCTCCGTCGACATTGCCTTCGTTTCCGTCGTTCTCGCGTGGCGCTATTGTGTGCTTCATTCCATCTCTCAAAGATTTTCCATTCGGGAATATGATTTTCCATTCGGGAATAAGTATCGGGAAAATAGCACCAGTGTTATGAGATTGATTGTTTTAAGATTTTTTTTTCTTATGTTTTTTGCGCTTATACATTAAATAAAGGTTTAATTACACAAGTTTGAGGTTCGATTTCTCGCAGCGAGATATTCCTAAGGAAAACGCTGGCTGAAGAATAATTTATAAGAATATATAATTTTGTCAGTTAGAAAATACTGCATGGCAGAAAGCTTTAAATTCTAATTAGGCCACACAGTGGAGCGGGTTTCCCGATACTTTAAGGAAAATATTGGAAGTAGGAATCCTCAACTGGATTCTTTGGAATATAAAAGGTTTACTCCTATCGGAAATCAATATCCCGTTTCTCTGAAATAACAACAACAACCCATTAATCCATTTTTCTCTTATCAATGATTTTATTAGCCGAATAACCAAATTTTCAATAAAAAAATTTAATTAAAAAATTAAATACGAAGAAAATTGAAATTGATAATCTCAATCAGAAACTATATATATATATCAAATATTATATCAAACGGAGTAAATTAATTCAGTTTTTAAGGTCTTTAAAAAATTTTAAATTTTAAATTTATGAGAAACAAAAAAATTTAAATTATAATTTTAAAAAAATGAAAATTCCAAAAAGTTGAAAATACTTAAAAATGCAGAAAAGGCAAAGGCAATTGAAATAATAATAATCTTAAAAATCATAAAATTTATTAAAATAGAGGAATTATTATAAAAAATTCATAAATAATTGTAAAAAATTTTCACTTCATGAGTACCATTCATTAGTGAATAAAAACAATTTGTTAAGCACTATTGAATTAGCGCACTTTTAAAGATTAGCGCATTTATTGCGATTATCTCAGTTATCCCTTAGGCCCTTCGTATTCTTAGGCCCTCTCAATTTAATATTTGAAGTCAAAAATTTGAAAGTGAAATTCAAAACAAGTATTTTAGGGATGTTTTTTCAATTAACAGGCTTTTAATTTAATTATGTAAATGATAATTCTACAAAAATTCATCAATTTCAACAATGATTACAATATATTTTCTTATTATACGAAAAATATCATTCCATTCACTATTAAAGCAAAAGAATCTCCATTTTTTTTTTGCGTTCCTATATTTGAATCCTTTTTGGCACCACTTATCTATGATATAAATAGAAGTTATTTTTGGTTCCTCTACAAGAATACGTTGATGATCGCAAGTGCAAAACCCAAATATAATTATAAATAGGCAGAATCATATAATGCGAATAAATAAATTATTTTATTTCTCTACGAAACCTGAAAAACCAACAGAATTAAACGATTAGTTCATTAAGTATGGTAAATGGGAAAACATAATTTGCATGGAAGGAATGCCTTTTACAAAGAATTTTATGCGATAGGTTTACACCTTTAAAAATTTAAAAGTTAATTTCTATTTTTAATATTGTTTTTAAAGAAAAAAATTTAATATATTCTTGTAGAAGAACCAAAGGCTTCTAGTCGTAGTTTAAACAAATGGCAAAAAGACATTAAAATATCGAAGTAATGAACGTAACGTTTCATAGCGCTCAAATGTCGGAGAAATGAGCGCAATTCTATAAAATCTTTGTAAAATCTTGGCAATGATATTTATTCAGTTTTTTTCAGAAAAGATTTTGTAAATTTATAGATTTTACGTGTATAACTGGAAAATTTTTGCGTGGTCAATTTTCGATGATAACATAAAAAAAAATTAAAATTGTGATAAATGATCAATGTTAAGCTTTTAAAAAAATAAAATAATTATAAAAAGAAAAATTTCTTCAATCTTGCAATTTTCTCTTCGGTTTTTTCGGATTCTTCGACCGACTTTTGCTTTTACACATTGGACATATCGGTGCATTTCGGTGAATTTGTTGAAAGCATGACTGGCAGGTCTGAAAGAACAGCAACATTTCGAAAATTCATATCTTGATTAATTCCTGAATTACCACTCTAATGAACAACTTTTATTTTAATCATATCTTAAACTGAGTACTGGATAAAGTTGAAAATTCTGTACATGAACTGCCATTTTTTGAAATATTTTAATTTTAGAATTTACTTTCATAGGTGGTGTTTGATGGTCGATTTTTGGAACAGATGAAGTCGGTCCTAGACCGAAACTATGATGTGGTGGAATACGAGACATAGGCGACCCGTGTAATAATAATGAGTCGAAATTAAATATAGAATGTTGAAGTGTTGGTGGCACCGATCCTTTAAATTGTCGAAGTAAATTCGGCACCGATGATGGTGTTTGTCTGAAATTTTATCTCGTCTCGCGTTTACAGTTTCGATTGAGCTGCATTTTATGGTCAAATACTGATCATGTAATAATGAATAAAAATTAGAAAAATCGTGGTAAAAAGCCAAATAGTTCGATTCTTGGTATTCGTTTATAAAATATTTTAATTTCTTTGTAATATTTTATATTTATAATATGTATTGACTGCATCAACTTTCACTCCACTTACATTAGCAACACCATCGCAAAAATATAGCCTTCGCTGGTTAAGGCCGTTCTTCGTCGCCTAACACAAGAGTTGATACATATTTCCTTATTTGCTAAATTTTGCAATCGATGGCATCAAAAGCGAGGAGGGCCAATTAAGACTTGGACTGATATAGCCAGGAAATTTAAAATATAGGTGGATCAGCGATATATGCACTTAGAGGATGGAAAAAAGAATGGCTTCGCCTATGGCGACGGATCGAGCAGCTTAAAGATATCTTATATCTTATATTATTTGTAGCCAGCGGGGTCACTCTAACCAGTAATGATGAGGTGAGGAAAATAGAAAGAATAATATTATATATATGTATATAATAAACTGTCAAGATAAGAAAATATGGAATTGATCGAATATTACTACGATAATAAATCTAATGAGAAGGGATATATGAAATATGAATTTGGGAAATCTGTAGATGAAAAGGTTTATACATTCACAATTACTGGAAATAGTCATCTAACGTATCAGTATAGTAAAAAGGAGGCGCTTTTCTTAAAATTTTAGACAGACAGATATTACATGGCAACAACAGAATATGAACAATGACGGAATATAGGGAAAAAAGTAAAATCATAATAGCAATGGTGAAGGACCATAGGATAAGGTGGAAGAATATGAAGACTGGGCCAGACACGACTCACATCTACTAATAGTAGTACATGAATATCTCACAACACATGAACCAGCTAATAACAAACTCACCCAAATAGACTGACTCGAAGAAGAGTGATACTGATCATTGAAAGGTTTTAATAAAGGAACAACACCGCCTACATCTCAATATTTCTTACCTTTCACATTTAAAATATGGAAGATGTTATCAGATAACTGCTAAATAACAGGAACATATAAAAAAATATCATTACGAAATTACCAGTCGCTCGTAGATAAAGCAGTCGCTCAAGATTGAAGTTCAAGACAGGCAAATCTGAAGATAGCAATCTGGATTGACAAAGAAGCCTACCACTCATTGCTCAATGTTTGGATCTATGAATGTCTCGCACTACACAAATTAAGGATTTCCCCTAAGAATTTAATGAAATTGTGAAAAACTATGTAACATCGTTCACTGATGTTGATGACTCGTTGATGTTCTTTATTTGCACCAAACCTTTTCGGTCAGATAGTCACAAGTGAAATGTACATATCAGTTCAAAAGCGAAACTCATCAAGAACACCCACCTCTTATAAATGATGTATGAAGAAATATGCGAGGAATGAACGAGATATTATTCGCTCATTTAACTAGCACAAATCCAGACTGCGATATCATTCCGACTGGGGAAATATGATCGAATAATATTGGATAAGAAAAGGAAAAGCTAAGATTGATGGATGGAACTACCAGCGGGGCATAAAAAACATAAGAACCACAAGCACTTTGGCATCCCACAGTCACATGTGGTTACGATACGAGAAGAAGATAAGGGAAATCCAAACATCAGCAAAGGGAAAGATCCTAAAAAGGTCTTGAAAACCAGGACAATGGGAAAAATAAGAAACATTGATAAACATTTATAAACTATCAGAATACTTTATAGTATAGTGATGTATAGTGAGAGGACAATATTTAGGCTACCAATGTAAAGACCTCTCCCCATAATGTACAGAGATTTCCATTGTAAATCTAATATTCAGAGAATGTACACCAGCTGGAAAGAGCTAGAAGCATGATGAGTGTTAAACCCTCGATCTTAAAGGAAAGAAAGACTCATACTATCTGCAAAGAGTGAAAAGGGATTTAAAGGGGTTTATAAATTCCTATGGTACTATTTCAAATCAAGAAAATGATGCACCAATAAATAAAAACGGCTATTTTAAAGGGAATCCTTATTTAATAGAGCAATTCCCAGCATTTTCGAAAATTTCTCCTTCAAACAATTTAGAGATATCAAGTGAAAAAAAGTGGTTTCGACAAACTTCAAATCATCACAGGTTGAACTCCTGCTTAGAGCAAATAAATATATCTTCAGTTAGTAATGCAAATGCAAACTATATTGGTGAATATGGCTAGAAGAAGAAGACTGGAATTAATGATTCATTTCTACTTCCTGGCTAGGCTCGTTCCACTGGTTTGTCAGAAAAAAACGAATTTTGCGGAATGATAACTAATGATTCGCCAGTATCATCCGGATTTTTAAAAAGACAAGTTTTATCAATTCTATCCCAAATTGTTAATTCAAATAATTTAAATTAATAAAATATTAAATATTAAATTAGTAAAATAAAAAAAATTACGCAATAATTTTATTCGGTGGAATAATAGAAACTGGAATAAGATTTTCTTCCGGTACACCACTTTCTTTCGAATATTCATTGCTTTGTTCTAAAATTCGAAATATTTCTTCATATTTTTTCACAATATTTTCCTCGATTTGTTTTCGCTCTTCTTTTGCCAATAACATTACTTTTTCAAGTTCCACTTTATCCTGAAAAATTTCATTCTAAGGATTTTATATTTTTATCCTTTTTTGCTTACTTTCTGTCGTTAGAAGGATTATTTAAAAAATTTTTTTTTACTTTTATAATTAATTTCTATTATAAAGAAATAAAAAGAAAATAAAATAAAAAAAAATAAAATAAAAACTTCTTTTTTTTTAACAGAACTCACATATTCTTGGTTTAGAATGAAATGTTTTTGCCAGATGTATAAGGATGAAAATAAAAGTGGATTCTAAGAATCGCTCGGATTCCACTTTCAATGGCAAATTTACTTTCATTAAGAAAAAGCAGAAAGAGATAAGAATGGTATATTGTCGTTCTCATTTCGAAATACTCAATACTAGAAGTTCAACTCGCAACAAAAATAAACGCAACGAAGTGAAATGTCGAAAATTCGGATGATGCTGCAACTCACCTGATTCATTTCTATCGCCAAGCGACTCCTTGGCAAAATTTATCTAGCGCGATAATCCTATGAAGCAAGCCTAATCAACAATGATATGTGCCTTTAGAATTTGAATTTTAATAGAAATTATCATAACTATATTTATAAAAGGTTTATATCTATAAAATGAACGTATTAGACTTCTTTAGACTTGAAAATAAATTAGTTCATTAATGAAGAAAAATTTAATTGATCTCTAATCAATTTCCAATCATGTATCGCTTATGATTTTGGTACCCAAAGGCGAAGAATATCGAATGCATAGATTACAAATTAATTAATGCAGAAAACTGAATTAGATCCATACTCATTCCAATTTGGTGATAATATTTTTAATGCATTTGGTAATTACGCTAATTTCTCTAAAACTAATATTTAAAAAAGATGGCTTCAGAAAAATGGGACTAATCGAGAAATTTAAGAAAATATACTGCATTTATTATTCCAATTGAGTACTACGAACATAATCATCTTCCTTTTGGATGAAAAAATTCTGCATTTTATTTTCAAAAAATAATGATTAACGTATTAGCCAAATTACTAGAATTTGTTGTGGCGCCTGTGATTCCTCTAATCTTACTTGTGGTACTATTCTATGCCAGCGACTTGAGTCAATTTTAAGAAACTTAAAGGTAGAATAATGGTTAGATGGCAATTCGGATAGAATATCACTCCAAGCTATTCTGGTAAAGAGATAAATAATGCTGAGATTTTATCAAGATTGGCTTCAGCATGCCAGACCATGGACATACAAAAAATTACTGAAATATACCATGATTCGCCTAATTCTGGATATCATGATTGACGTTATACCGTACCTTCATGAAAATCGAAATAAGGATATAAAGATTGATATTTTTAAATATCCGAGGTTATGTTATTTTTATTTTCCAAGTTCATAGCACCATGTAGCGATTCTTGTTGAATATTCGGGTAATTTCTTATGGTACATTTGGTGAATTAATAAAGAAAAGCGAAGCGAACAAATCAAATTAATTCATTTTCAGCTCTTGGATGAGACTTAAAAAAGTTAAGGCTATAAACCATAGTTCCATCGCCATACAAATGCAAATATTTTACCAATTACATTGTGCAGCTATTGGTTATGCTCCATTCTTCAAAGCATTTGCCAGATTAGATTCCTGTATTGCGGACGAAAATTTTGGAATCGATATCGAATTTCAATAGGAATTTGAATATATCATGAAAATATGCCAAGTATGAAAACGGTAACAGAATTGGTGATCCACACAGAACATCTCAAGTTTCTCCAAGTTGGAACTACTAACCGAACTTACTTCTCAGTAAAGGACCATTCCAAGTTAGTGATATCTTCAGATACAAGAGATTCATCAAATTGGTACAATATAGTAGGGAAGGTAATAGAATCCGCATAATTTCTATCGGCATCGGATGCTTCAAAGACGGGATAACAATTAATATTGGAGAACTCGGCACCTTTACTGTAATACGGTCGTTTTGCTCCTTATGGCTTATTGAGATCAAAGGGCTTCCGCTTATCGTTGGGCCCTCTGGTATTATTCATTATGCACTTTTCTTTGTTTGGTTATTAATTTAAATCATTGTTATCTATTATTATACATTTAATATTAATAAATATTATAAAATAAATATATTATTATACATTTAATATTATCTATTATTATACATTTGATATTAATAAATATTATAAAATAAATATATAAATATTATTAATAAACTATTATTTATTACAATCTAAAATGGTACTTACAGTAAATTCTGAATTGTTACGCGACCATAATTTCAATAAATTTTCATAAATTGCATGATTATCAGAGATATTCGATATAGAAATTTTCAATTAAAAATCAAATTAATAGATGATAATGAATCTATTATTAAAGATAAAATCGAGAAGCCAGAAAAAATTAAATTAAATTCTACTATTTTTATAAAAATAATTTAGAACCATATTAATTTGTTGTATCATTTCGCTATGAACATCCTTTTCATCATTTAAATCCGAAATCGTTTTTTGTGTTTCTTCAATAAATTTTTTTGTTAGATGAAATTCGGATAATTCAGAAAGTAATTCATTTCTTCGATTATTGAAATCGTCCAATTTTATTCTAAAATTTTCGGTATTATAATAATTATAATTATTATTCGGTATTATAATAAATAAAAAAGTTACAATGATTCAGAGAGCAGAATGGCTCAATTTGGCAATAGCTTCTATTAGTAGAAATCACCCCATCTGCGTTTCTATTGGCAAGTAATTCCCTAGCAAAATTTACCTGAATTTTGCAAAATTTAACAAAATAGCGAAATAAGTCTAATCTAATCAGAACTGGTGTTTTTAACATGATCAATATTTGGTTAATATTAGGTTAATTGCTGATATTCAACTCAAAATTATTAACTCTAACTCAGACATGCAAACTTGAAATCACACAATTGAATACACATCTATTTTAAAAATACTTTAAATATTTGGATCTACTCTTGCACCGAATGGCCCAAACGAAAGACGAAATTGAATAGCTGCAGCTAAAAGTATGTTCTTTCGCCTTGTGAAAACCTTGTGAAATTCCGAGAAATCACCATTAATTATCTCCATAAACGAAAGTTTGCATCTATTTGGTTGTAGTACGTATGGCATATTCTACGAGCGAATAAAACCTCACATGGTCGTATACACCTTTGAAACCATCTGCATTAAGAGAAAGTCGCTTACATTGGTAAGTTCTTTATCGAGTATCACAGTAGTTGACATATTATCTCACTGTTACCTATGCCTTATGATATAACAAAGGCTTGAGGCAGCCAGAAGAAGAAAATTTGAACATATAGGCGACCTAGATATATGGACTTATAAGATAAGAAAAGAGGTGGATTTAGTTATTCCCAAGAATAGCATTAGGCCAAGCAGCTTGGAAAAGCTTTATCCTTGTAGCTAACGGAATTAGTCCAAACGGAATTCTAATGGGGTAGAAGAAGAAATTATGTGATAAATTATTGATTTGATATCGTCGAACATTTACAACTTCAATAAATTATAATTTTTAATAAATATTAAGCCAACTTACAACCAACTTACTTTGCTTGTGCTATTTTATGTAATTCAGCTGATAACATATTGAGATCAAATGAACCAGGCGAAGGCATTGCAAAAAAAAATTCTGTATTTTATTTCGCTCCAAACCTAAAATGAGTTATTTTTTAATTTATTAAATAGTACAATTCTATATCTATTACTTAATATGACTTAATGGGTTGCTATTCTCATCTCATAACACCAAAGTTTGAGTTCTATTCCTAGCTTGTCTTTCAAAAATTCGGGTAGTGCTTGCGGCTCACCAGTATTTCCATTGTTTAGCGACTCTTTGGAAAAACTACCTGGATAAGCCAGCGCAACAAATTTAACTAGAAATGAAAAGCATTCTTCAAAAAAAAAAGAAAAAAAATTAAAGCACATTGGCATAACTATAAATTTAAGCACAGAAATTAGTAAAATCTTCTCCAATGGTTTTACATCGTCATGTTTAGCACTTTTATAACAGAAAACTATCATAACTACTGGAGAATTACAAAAAATGTCAATGATATATATAATCATCGCACTGATAATGGGATTCTATTCACCATAAAAGTAAACCTATCTTTCAGGGCAAAACTAGAAGCTGAATAAAAATTTTTTGCATGGTTGTTGTATCGCTTTTGTAAAAGAAAAAAACTATAAAAATTAAAGAATTTTTTTCTTCTGATAAATTATTAGGAAAAAAATTTCGTGAATTTTTTTAAATTTGCGAATTTTTACATTAAATAAGTATAATTTATTTAAAAGAATATTAAGCAATTTTATCACTAGTGATGAGAAAAATTTGAAAAAAAACGAAAAATCGGATTTAGCTTTTTCATGCGTTCATCGATAAGAAATTTTTTTCATTACCTAACGGCTCTTATCATTTTAATTTCTATTTGTACGAGATTCATTTATGATTCGAGAATTGTTAGTTCGATAATATTTCATTTAGATTTCATTTTTTCATGACAACTTTATTACTATAAATAAAGAAGAGGAATGAACTGAACCAAAGCTACTTGGCCTTAGGCAAAAACCTTAGCCAAACTATTATATCGCTCGACTATCCTCTCCTTTCTCTTTAAAATTATACATTTATTAAATAATTTTTAAAAAAAATTACTAAAAAAAAAAAATAAATAAAATAATTGTTCTTTAAAAAGAAAGACATAAAGTTTCAGTAATGAAATGGATATGCGTATTGGACGTAACGAAGAAAATAAGGGTTCGATGAATTTCTTCTATTATAAGGGCGATTGAATGGGGTCGTAAAAATGAATGAAAAGTGTGAAAGATGGCACCCATGAACGATGTATTTATTTCGCTTTCTTGCTTGTATAATATATTTATAACAAATCGAATAATCGATTAATACTTTTTTTTTAAAAAAATTTATTTTGTTTTTTATTAATTTTTATTATTTATTATTAATTTATTTATTTTTATTATTAAAATCAATAATAATTATTTATTTAAAAAAAAATTTAATAAATGAGAAAAAATATATTAAAATTTCTTTTCTTTCGTATAATTTGTATTACATAAAACGATGAAATTAGAATTAAAATATATAAAAAAAAATTCTTTATAAATTTCAAAATTATCTATTTTTTACAAATTTAAAAATTGCTGTTTCATAAAAATTTTAAAATTTCTATTTTTTATAAATTTTCGAAATTATCTATTTTTTACCAATTTTAAAATTCTTTTTCTTTATTAATTTCAAAATTATTTATTTTATTTTCCTGAATTTTATGAGCAAATATGGGGATTTTAATAAGTAAAATAAAAAATAATGAAATAAAAAATGGGTTAATTAATAAAATAGTAATAAATAGATAAAGGAAAAATCCAATTATATATATATATATATGTATTTATATTTATATATTTACATACATATATATTAAATTTTGATCTTGCAAAAATATTTTAAAATATTTTTAATTGTTTTAAAATAAATGAAAATGGATAGAAAAAAAAATGAAAAAATAAGGAAACATAAAAAAAAAAAAACTCATAAAGGAGCTCACACATTCATCAGTTTAGCTTATTGACTTATTTTCATCCGACTAAACGCCAAATATCATGAATTCGATTCCTATTTCATGACAGGGTGGGGGCTATCATTAAAAGAGAAATATAAGTGGTGCTGCAGATTCATTGTTATATTTTTTCTGTTATTTTCTATACTACAGTGAATTCCTGAAACTCGTCCTAAGAATCGATGGAACTAGCCAAATACAAAATGAATCTTATGGTATATCTTTTCAATAAATTATAAATTATTTTTATTTGTAGTCATTTTCAATTGTTATAGTCATATAAGAAGGATTATCTAAATAATTAGATTTATTGCCATATTCTTCTCGTTAAATCTATTTTAATTTTTATTATTTCATTAATTATTTTATTATTTATTTAATTTTTATTATTTCATTAACATTAACGATTTAATTTCTTTTCATTGCTTCCCTTCACAGTTAACAATTCATACAATCAAAATGTCCACCTGTAAACTGAGAATTTGGAAAAAACAGAATTATAATTACGAATAATCCTATAGGAAAAACCTGTCCAAAAATTGGAATGAGCTGTCGGCTTACATCTATTTTTATTGCCAAGGAACTGGCATATTTGTCTAGTTCGGAAAGCCAGTGTAGCAAGTTTAACCACTGGTGAGTGCACTTTAAAAAAAATCCTTAGAAATTCTGATTAGTGAAGCGGATACTATAAAAGAAATACGCACAGTTGTTTTTTTTAGTCTTTTCTGTTTAATGTCATTCTGCTAGCTTATCGCATGAGTTAAATTTTACCATTTGAAAACAAAAATACAAATGAATCGCTATCGGATTTTAAAATGATTTACTCCTATCGAAAGTGGAACAATTGTATTGGTGTTACCGAAATGAGAGAAACACAACTCGCTAAACCTTTTTACTTGTTTAAAACTAATAATTTAAAATTATATTTAAAGTAAACCATTTAAAAATTATAAATACAAATTATAAATTAAAATAGAAATATCATCAATTTCATTATTTTTCAATGGAAAAATTCATTCAACCATAATAAAATTCGCTAAATAAATTAGTGAAAAATTTTTGCAAATTTTAATTATTTCTCTTTTAATTTCCAACGAATTTATGAAATTTTATCTTTCAATTCCTATAAAATTCTATAAAAGGATTTATGTTGTCAATATGATTTATTATTAGTATCGATTTCTTATTAAAATCACCGAGATAATCCTTTTAAATAAATAGCAATTTCTTAAGATCTCATGAAATTCACCTAAAATAAGGTATACTCAACGTTTATTGGATTTATTATGTAACCAATTCATTTGACCATATATGGAACCGCACTGAGAGTAGAGTGGCTCAGTAGGTGTTGTTGCGCAATTCGGAATGCGAATGCTAAATTTCTAATCGCCGTAGGAGCAAATCTTTCCAAAAATCCTGGTGATACTTCCATTGTTAACGGACTAGCTTGTATATTTATCTAGTGCGATAGGCCAGCCGAGTGAATTTAACCAGTAATTTAACCAGTGATGGCTCCTAAAAAAAAAATTTGAATTTACTTTCGGGCAAATGCAGCCTTTCACGTTAAAAATTAGAGAAAAGTATTATTTTAGCTGAAACAACAATGGTGAATAATAACTGTTAAAAATCATACAAAATGGAAAAAATTTTAATTTTTAATAAAATAATTCATTAAATCGGCATTTAAATTAATTTAAAATCAACCAAATTCATTAAGAAATTTAAATAATAATTTTTTATTATTAATATTATTTTATTATTATTATTAATTTTTTTATTATTATTAATTGTATTAGAATAATATAATAGCCAAGTAATTAGGTGGTTAGCGCTTAGCATTTCTGCAAAAGTTTTCTCCACTCACTATTAAATGCGAATAGAATTTATAGCCAATTTAGCGATAGAAGTACCATATAAGCCAGTAGTAATACTTCTCCTGGCTAATAATCGTTTATTTGTGTCGAAATAAGGAGCCGAACTCTTCAACCCAAACGATAATCCAAGCCATTTCTCACTCGTTTATCCTACTCCTTATCAGAATAATGAAATAAATAAAATGAGTTCACCGTTTGATGTTAAACTCGCTCTATTGGCTTTTAGTACGATAGGGAATTTTTGCCTCAGAATCATTCGAAAATAGTAGTATAAGTGGTTCTCAAGCGAAATCAAATGGAGGAATTATCGTTTATTAGTGCAGTAATAATTAAAATTTTTTTGAAATAATTAAAATAAAAATATTAAATATCGATAAAAACACTGAAATCTATATTTGATTTTAAATCATTTAAATTTCTGAAAATCCAATAGCTTTTTCAAAAATATTTAAAATGAAGCAGCCAATAAATTTTAATAAAAATATTGCTGTCAAATATTTTTATTATTTTAAATATTTGAAATGTCAAATTCTTTATTCCCAATGGCATTGTATACTTGAAAATAATCGTATTGAATCGTGTTGATATATTAATATATATTATCAAATTATAGATTAAATTTTTCATATTTTTAAATTATCAATATTTCAGTTATCAATTATCAATTTATCAATATATATCTTTTAAATAATTTAAATAAGTACTCATGATAAATTGTTCATTTTTCTTGATTTTTGTTTTTTTGTAACGCTCATTATTTCTGATCAGACTCGTTCCGCTGGCTTATCAGACTATGCAAACTTTGACATGTGTCGATAGAAGGAGCTTGGCAGTACTATCAGAATTTTTGAAAAAAGCAAGATTACTCTCATAGTGAATAAAACCCTGGAATTGGCCTTCCAAAATATGACCATTAGTTCACTTAGCCAATCCAACTGCATAGGAAAAAGGTTTTCTTTTTTCTGTTTTTACTGCATTTCTTCGTATCAAATTTATTGCTTTTAAAGTTTTTAAATTTAAATTAGATTTATTGCTTTTCTCTCCGTTCTAATATTCGTTTTGCAAAAGAAAAAAGTGAAGAAACAAAAAAATTATCACCTAAAAATTTTTAATAATTGCCATTTATGATTTTCGACTTTCAAATATGAATATATTGATAAGAAATTTATTAAAATAGGACAAAATTTATAAATTTGAACAAAGTTGTCATAAATGGAATTATTTCGGTATCAAATCTGTCCTAATTTGATAATGTTTAATGGAGTATTTATTAGATGCATTGTGATAAGAACTGATATTTGATGGTATTTCAATAATAATGGATGAATCGTTCAATAAATTTGAATATCAAAAGAAGTTCGTTCGTTTAGTTTCTTTCGATTGAACTTGGATATTAATTAATTAGTTAGTGATTAGGATTTAGCATTTATCATTTATCTGGTCAAACTTGTTGCATTAGGCATTAGGATAAGATACTCCAATTATTTAACACATATAGGCGATAGATATATAGGTGAGTACTCAGGATCCTTGTTTTTAATAATAGATTTATTCCTAGATACCTAGGAGATGAACCACGGTATCTTAAATAATAAGCTAAACAATACATCAGGCATATTATCTCTTTTTCTTATAAACTGCTTATTGATATTAATGATTAACATTAGTTTTTCAAAATTTTTATATGAATATTTGAATTTTTTCAAAATAAATATATGTCGGTTATTATCGATTTACTACAAAATTTGAATTTCAGTTTTTTAAAAACTGATAAATGATAATTGATAATTTTCGTGGATTTGAAAAAAAAGCTCACAAAATTTCCAGACAAATGCGTTGTCTAACAATATTTACCGTCGCAATTTCATCCTTCATAGTTGTTATGGCAATTATAACTGTTCCATTGTTGTACAGCTATATAAATAATCTACAAAATCATCTCGCTGAAGAGGCCGATTTTTGTAAAGCAAGAAAAATAAAATTTTTTTGCAAATTTTTTCACAAAAGTGATAAAAATCATAATGATTTCCTTACAAAAAAGAATAAAATTAGTGAACTCGAAATTATAAAAATTATTTAAAATAAATTAATAAATTAATAATAAAATTAAATAAATAAAATAAATAATAAATTAATAATATAATTAATAAATTAATTTAAATTAATAGTTTTTTTATTATTTAAAAAAATTTTTATTATCCAATTGAAATTTAAATAATTTTATAAATATAATTATAATTTTATAAATATTATAATTTTATAAATATAATTATAATTTTATATATTATAATTTTAAATATTAATTTATTCGATCCCTCAGAAGAAGAAAAAATTACGAAAAAAAAAATCTATTTTAAGATGTCTATGAAAGATTTATTCAATGAATTAATGGCCCTTCAAAAAATGCAAATAAAACGTCAAAAACGAGGTTGGTCATTTGGCCGATGGATTAGAGATGATTCTGAAGCATTAAGTCGAGCCAAAATTTCACCATCGTACGATTCACCTTCACCAAGAGTATTCCTTTAAAAAAAAATTTTTTTTTTTATTTTCTGTACCGTTAAAATTATTTCCCAAGGAAATAATTGCTCGATTTTGCAATAGTTAAAATTTATTGTGAAAAAATTTTTCGGAAAAATTTCTTTAATTTTCTCGAGTTGTTCGACTTTTTCGTCATTAGTGTTATGCGAATTTTTTATTTTTATAAAATTATATTTATTCATTTATATTTAATAAAAAAGATAAAAATGACAATGTGACAATGATTTTTGCAGCCAGCCTATTTACCTCCATCATCACCTCAAATTTTCGTAGAAGCAGCACCAGAGATAATAGTTTTACAATGCACCTGTCAACAAGGACCTCCTGGACCGCCAGGAGCTCCTGGAGAAGACGGAAAGCCAGGAAGAGATGGCATACCTGGAAGAGTTGGCATTTTTTCTTTCTCACTATATTTCAATATTGCATTCTTTTGGGAAAAAATAAACTATTTTAGTTAGGAGATGAAGGCCGAAATGGTTCAGTAAGAATGGTAGAAGGACCAAGAAATGAACCGTGCATCATATGTCCTACAGGACCACCTGGACCTCCTGGATTACCAGGGGCCAAAGGACCCCCAGGACCTCGCGGCGCACCTGGCGTTAGTGGCCATGATGGTTTGTTAAATATATTGGAAAAAGGATGAAGAATACCAACTTTTCTAGACTTGCACTAATGTGACCAGCTTGAATTTTCAGGCAAAATAGGTATGCAGGGAATGACAGGACAGGCTGGTCCAATGGGGAGACCAGGAATTGAAGGGCCACAAGGAAAAAAAGGAGAGGTGAAATTTTTTAAGCACTAAATAATCTTCTTAATTCCTTTTATTATAGTTATTGCTTCAACAATATTTAGAAATTACCAAAATTATTTTCCCAATTGTATCTTTCTGATAGTCTTGACAAGTACGTTGGCTTAATGAGAATGTCTTTCGTGATAGAGATTCATTCGTTTTTTAATTTTAAGCATAAATTTAGAATGGTGAAATAGTTACCATAGAAGGACCACCGGGTGTACCGGGACTACAAGGACCACCGGGAATGCCTGGTTTACGAGGCTCGAAAGGTGCTCCAGGCCTTAGCACACCAGGACCTAAAGGGCTTACTGGCGAAGTACTATTTTTTGTTATTTATTAGATACCACCAATTAACACCAACATTTTATAAAAAAATTATACTCAAAATCAAAACCAATCATAAAAAATTTTGCAAAAGTCGAAGTTTATCAACCAGAAACCATAACAAATAATTTGACATCTTCTCTTAACGAAACATATTTTGCCTAAATTATTTAGCCTGGTCGACAAGGAAGAAATGGAAAAAGCGGGCAAGAAGGCCCACATGGAGTACCAGGATCTCAAGGTGATTACCTTTCAAATTTTTGAACTCTATAATTTTGGTGCGAAAATTGTATATACGATTTGTTAGTAAAATCGATGGTGGTGTTATTCACGTATTCTGAGAAACCAGTAGAGATCCATCGTTCTGCTTAGGCGAAAAACCATTTTGATTAAATTAGATAAATTAGATTATTATTATTAATTATTATTACTGAAAAAGGTATTCTCTCATCATCATTAATTTACTTCTTCTTCTAACAGCTCTCACTGCTATTACTGCTTAGGCTGACTCGGCTGGCTATAAGGGTAAGATTTTCCAAGCTACTTGGTCCGTTTTTTTTCCTTCTTAAAACCTTTTTTTATTTTTAAAATTCTCCTTTTAAATTTAATTTAATTATCTCTATTCTCTGTCTTTGACAGGAGTAAACCTGTCATGATGTCAAAAACCGAGGTGGCTGCTGGGGACCCATCTGTATCTCTATCCCCAAGTGACTCTATAGTGATTCATTAATTTACCATAATATAATTTCAAATTTTGGTTTGAATTTTGGAATTTTGGGTTTAGCTTTTCACTCGAAAAGAATGATAAGTCTTGATGATGCGATTGTTAATTGTTTGGAGAAAGCGATAAGGAAGGAGGAAAATGTGAGAAGGAGTTTTGAAGATTTATAACGGGATAATAGAACTTGGATAATATTATTGTGGTCCCATTTAGTAAGATGGCTATTCGTTGATAAAAAAAAGATACAATTTATAAATTTTCTTTAAAATTAAAAATCACCTCTTAAACTCCCCTCATTATTGGAATTCCCTTATTATCATTAGTAAATTTATCAATATCACTAATTATTATTTCGTATGATTCATAGTAAAATTCGTAATTTGATTCACGAAATGTTTGATAACCTTCTTTAAATTTAGGTTTTCGAAATTTAAGTTTTTAATTTTTTCAATAAAAATAAAACAAATTCAAAAAAAAAGAAATGAACTTCGTTGATTGAAAATTGTCATTTATTCCATTAATGATGATTAAATTTTTTTTTTTTTTTAAATATTTTAAATGTATAAATTGTGTTTTATAGTTGAATGAATGCATAATTTACATAATCAAGCGATATTTTCTCCAATGAATTTAATATAATTTAATTTCAGGTCACGATGGTGATTGCTTTCATTGTCCACCACCTCGAACGCCACCCGGTTATTTCTAATTTATTCGTCGTTGAAACGACTAGATTTATCGCATAAACTATTATCACAAATATCATTTGTCTTGCAATGAGATGAGAAGTTTTTAAATAGATATATACCGTAATATTTGATATAATTAATTATCAGTTTTTACGTTATATGTTATTAATTTATCTTTTGCTTGATTTTTTTAACTGATTACTGATAAGACGATTTGATAATTTAATTTAACAGATGATTTTCTTATTTGAAATATCTGAAATTAAATCGCTTTCCTTTGTTTTTTTTTTTGAACAAATAAATAATTATTTAATTAAATATTTATTAATTATAATTAATTATTTAAAAGGATTTTTTCGTTCGGGAGATGTTAAATTTTTCGAAATTTTTTTTATAAATTTTATATTTTCGCAAATAAGAAAATATTTTCACGATTAGCGAGCAGTACGAAATCGTTGGCCTTAACGCAAAAACTATCTCATTTGGCATTTCTATGTGAATTTTTTGCTTATTTATGAAGGCAATGCACATATTCCGACGGGGTTTTTCTCTTGTGGCTTACAAAGACTTTTCATTTTCCACTGTTATTCTATTAGCGTTTAAATTTATAAAAAATACAAATTTTTTACAATAATAGAAAAAAATACAAAAATATAAATATAAATTTTGAGAAAATCGACCGTTCATTTTAATTGCTATCAGCAATATCATCAATAATTTCTTGAATGATAATCGCAGTGATTTTGATTTATACGTTAAGATGGCGCAATGATGTGAAGATTTAATCTCAAGCGAGATGATCATGCAAAATTTAGAATCATCTATCAAACGAGATCAGCAAATCCTAAATCTCCAGCTGTTTCATGAAATATTCTAAATATGCGGAATTTTTCGAAGACCTATCACCACACACCACTCATCTCAATTCAAATATTTTTTAGATTCCTCTGGATTTTGCGGATTTTGCACGAGATTCGCGATTCGATTATCGCCTTATTTACAAGTGCATAAATAATATTTTAATATATTCTGCAAAACTAAAATTATGATTTTTAATTTTTTTCTAAATTTTATCTTAAATTTATCTTTTTTTAAAAGCATTTCTGAGAATTTTGCCAGATTATCACTTTTTATGATAAAAGGTGGATGATGATAATGATAAAAGGTTTTATGCAAGTGTGGATCCGCTTGGATCTTATTTTTAGAATAAAAAATGTTTTTCTGTCGTCCAGGAAGAATCAAGGAGGATCCAGCATGTTGCTTTTTGAACTCAAGAGAAACACAAAGAATTCTCTTATTTGGTGCCAAACAAAATTGAAAAGTACCAAAATAAGCTTAATTAATCACTTATCATTTATCACTCAGTGATCTAATGATAATTATTTAACAGTTAAACGAAAAAATTTCATAAATAATACACAAGAAATATTAAATTATGTTGAAATGTTGATTAACTGAAATAGAAAATTAAATGGCCAGGAAATGGACAAATTTCTCGCCATCATAAATGGAGCGGAAGAAACATCACGTTGATAGAGGAGTGCGCACAGAAAAAGAGGACCATCAAAAGAATATGCAAATTGTAGGAGTTACTTTTCGGGAAAAAGAAAAAATGCAATAAAAAAGAAAACGGGAAGTTTAGTGATCGCAGAGGAATATTTCTGTGTTTCTATAGTAACAGCAGAAAATTTATATTCGTATATTATTTCTTAATTTTATTTTTATATTTATTTCTTTTTTTTTCGTTGTGTTCCTCGACCTTTTGACCTTTGTCTTTCCCTGACCTATGCGAGTCAAAATATTATTCAAACAGAAAAGTAAAAAAAGTAGTTCTTAATATTATTATTAATATTATATAATAGTAGTAGTAATAATAATAATATTAATATTAATATTATTATTATATTAATAAAATAATAATAATGATAATAATAGTAATAAAACAAATAAATAAATAATATGCTGCAGATATGAACGTCGAATTTGATAAAAGTTCTCAATATGCCGATCTATGAAAAAATACAGTCCATTTCGAATATTTGTTAGTTTTTATTTGATACGAAAGGCCAAAAGGCCTAAAATTTATTTATTTATTTAATATTTAAGGCCCGAAGCTTTTATAGAAAAAAAAACGATAATAATAAATAAAAATAAAAAATATAAAAATTAAGGTGATGAGGAAACAAATCGAAAAGTTTTACAAGTATCAGCTGATTTAAATAATTGTCGTTCACGAATCGATGCAAATGTCGATGAACAACGCAAATATCGACAAGTTATCGCTAAACTTAATAATAAAGTTTATATTTTTTTTCGATATTTTAATAAAATTTTTTAAAAATTAAAATTTTAAATTAAATTCTAAAAAAGAATGTTAAAATAAATTCGTAAATCAAATTATTTATTTATTTTATTTCAAAAATAAAAAATTGAAAGTTTTTTTTTCAAATTTAATAAAACTAAAAATATTTAAAAGTAATTTTTTTTTGACTTTTTTTAAAAAATTTTTTTAAATATTTTAGATTTTTTTTTCCCTAAAATTTTTAATTATTTTTTAGATAAAAAATATTTTTTATTTGAAATTAATCACAAATTATAATAATTTTCTTTTAAAAAAATTTTAATTTTAAAATTTTAAAATTTTAAAAAATTAATTTTAAATTTGAAAATTTTAAATAATATTGCTTTTTTAAAGGTTTTAGAATATCGAAAACGTGCAGCTGAAACAACAGCGCATTTATCAACTCTATCAACTGCAACTCAAAATAATAAAACAAGTGATATATCGCCCGATCACTTCTCTCCACAAAATTTATTTCTTCTAAATCGGTTTATTTTTTGTGTTTTTCTTTTTTTTCCCAATTTTTATAGCCATTTTAAATAGTTGAACTTATCAGTTGTTATGAATGTTTCACTTATCATTTATCAGTTGATTTACTCCATTTTTATTTCCTCTTTAAGAACTATAAAACTATAATATTTTTATTATTTTCAATGTTTTTTATTGAAAAATTTTCAAAAATTTAAATTTTCCATTCGATAAATTTGATTGATAGATTTTTTAGTTTTATTTTCAGTTTGTAATAGTAAATACTGTTATATTATATTATATTAGTGGATTTTTCACTTATTTAGGTGGGGAGACAATATGATAACATCGGAAGAACTAGGAACTAATAAATCTTTATTATCGTCAACAACAGATTTAGAAGCAAATCAACTCAAAAATGATGTTTATGTTGAGTTTATTACCGAACAACTTCGCGAGGAACAAGTCAGGTTTCGATTTTTTAATTTTTTCTTTTTTTATGAAAATCTTTTATAAATGAAATATACATAATTTTTATCCAAATTTAGATCAGATTAAATTTAATTTTGTGAATTGATAATTAAATTAATTAGTAATGAGCATTCGTATTTTCTAATTAGGCTAGCCCCGTTTTCTTACATTGAAATTTTCGCCCCAGGCAGAAGCCAAACCATGACATTTGAAGTGTTAATCTAAGCATTATATTAATTTGCCCTTATAAAGAAGTAAATAGTTGTTATTAGCTGAATAACCAGATCAAATATAATTAATGTTAATTACTAGAAATGATACCTTGGAGGATATCAATGATATGTTACGTGAACAGGCTGAATTGGCAATGCAAGCTAATCAAAGTCTACGAGAAGATTTATGTAAAGTAAATGATGAACTAGGAAAAGTTTTAGCAGAACGAGATACTGAACGTGACTTTACGCGTCATAAAGAACAGGTAATCATAATCAAAATGATAATAATATGTAAATTAACATGCTTGTGCTTTAAATTTCTAAATTTTATTAGGTAAATTCTTCAAATATTACTTCTGAAATAATCAAGTATAATTTGGAAAACGCTTTTGTATTCAAATATAATATGAAATAAATAAAATTGATAACTGGTAGTGATAATTTATTTTTTTGCTTTTATATTTAGTATTTAATATATTGAGTGAAATTTTGATTAAATAGCTTTTATATGTTTTAAATATAATATAATAGGTTTTAAGGCTATAAAACTTCCAGCAATTTCATATTTATTAGTCGATTTATATTTATATTTATTCGATTTGAAACCATTTTAGTTTATTGAATAATAATCTAAATTATTATCGATAATAATAATAATTTACCAAATTCCCTATAAATTTTCGTTTCATACAATTTTTAGAAATTTGAATATTAGTTATCAAATAATTATTAATTTTATCATATAATTTCATTTGAGTGTTAGTTATCAAATAATTATTGATTTTATCATATAATTTAAATAAGCATAATCTCTTCTAAATTTTTTATTTTCATATTTTCATAGATTTTGGAAAAATTAAAAAATTTTTTTATTTCCAAGTGATCACATTTCCAAGTGATCAGTCACTGGGGATAGTTACTTATCAGTAGAAATAAAGCTATATCCTCAAGCATTCGAATTATTTTTTTTAATGAAAAAAATTATTTCCACCAAGTCGCCGATTCAATTTATGATTGGAACAAATCAGCTATTGTGTGTCTCCGTTCTGCTGGTTGCGTAAAATTACTATGGTATTACAAAATGAAATAAAATCCTCTCAAATACGTTTCTTTGATTTATTGAAATTTAGATAAATTAGATTTTTTGATCCGCTATTTTACTTTAAATCGTCAAATATTTATTTTATGATCATTTTTGGAAAATTCTAATTAATTTGAATTGATTTATAATTTATAATTGATAGTAAAATAATGGAATTGTTCAAACATTTTCAATACAAAAAAAATTCATTTTTTTGTTTTATTTACAATGCAAATTACTTTATTTGTTTATTTAGAGAAATCAGCAATCACTCGATGCACAACAGAAACATTTAATCGTAATTTGGATTGCCTTTAATCGACTTCGGCGACAGGTTAGCTGTTCGTTTTTTAAAAATTTTTTAATAAAATTTTGGCTCTAAATATTATATTCTGTAAATGAAATGAACTATTAATCTTTGAGATCTTAGATCGATCAAATTTTCGCATTATCCAATCAAAAGTTTGTGATCGTCTTAACCCGAAAAATGGGAAAAAATTTTTAAGAATATCACAGATCCCTTGCTTCTATAATTGAAATTTAGTATTTATTTATTTCTGATCATCTCTGATTTTCTCATAAGGAAAAAGTCACGTCAGGTTGCCAAAAGAGATTATTCTTGTAAATAAGTGCTAAATAAGGCAAAAAAAGGCTAAGAATTCCTTAACTTTGGATCAAAGGATTTTATAATCATTGATATATAATTTATTTTCATTGTAATTTTCCAATAAGTAATTTTGTAGTATTTATTTATTCAAAGAGAATTGATTTAAAAGAGAAAAGAATTTTCGGCTGAAGCAGTACTAAAATTTAAGAGTAACCGATTGGCTATTTGCACTAATTGTTTGATCTTCTAAATATTTAAATTATGATAAATAAATATGAAAATATTTTTAGTGTCAATATGGCGAATTTTGAATTTCATATATTTGAATTTTGAAATGAATTGAATCTTTTTTTTTCAAAAATTCATTTTCATATTTGTTATTTAATAATTGAAAATTTCTGAAATTAGGTGAAAGAATTGCGAACAGAAACAGAAAACGATCTCGATCGACAGAAAACTGAATTTATTCGTTGTGCGAATAATATGGAAAAGGCCATAATTTGCTCAGAGATGAAAGTAATTCATAAATATTTTCTTCCATTAATTTCTTAATTATTTTTATTCAAATAAAATACATATATTTAAATGAAAAATATTAGAAAATAATTTTTGTTTGTAGTATTCTCGATAATTTCGAAAATTTAGCCTAGAATAATTTGTATTGCTATACCTAAGTATATCTAAGGTAATTAGCGGATTCAATTTATGCATATACCAAAACATCGTCGTCCCCTATTGAGATGGAGTGATTTTATGGTAAAGAATATTGGATAAAGGCTGAAGCCAGTAATCGAAATTACTGGAGAATATTGGTCGGCGCTAAAAATTTATATAACTGAGAAATCGATCTGATATTGTGATATATGAATTTAGTGCTAACAAGCGCCTAATTAATTTATACTTATATTATTTTTATCACCTTTTTTTATTTTTATTTTATAGTATTTTAGCGTCAAGAATTAATTTCTTCGAATCAAACGGTAGAGGATACTGAAAATATTTTGAAAAAATACGAGGATGCAGTTGTTCGTAATATTAAGGTAAAAATTTAATGACGAAAATTTTTGAATTTTACTTGGTAAATTGTTTAATGATTTATTTGATTTTAGATGGAACATGAGCAAAGTGAACTAAATAGAAGAATATCGCAATTAGAGATTTCTGTGAAAAGGGCGAATGAAGCAAAAATTGCTGCACAAGATAATCTGCAGAAGATTCAACAAATACCAGAGCTGAGTGAAACACCGGGCCGACGAGCAAGATCAGCGAGCCCAGGTTGTTACTGAATCTAACGTTACGGAAAGAGCATTTGTTCCTAACAAAAAGGCGACGATTTTTTTATAATCGATGCTTTATTGGTGGAAAAGAAATGTTAAATCTATTACTATTATCCATTCCCTAATAAATTCCTGAACGATTATAAATAACAAAGTAGAAAAGCGAGAATTTTTATACTTTTAAGAATCTTTTAGGTAGAATGACACCATATTTTGATTTGATATATTTGATTCGATCCTCGTTGCAAAAAAGAGATAGTGAAATCCGTTCACTCGAATGGTCGCGCAAAGAAAATGAGCAAAAAATTTCTTCTTTAGAGGTCCAAGTGACTCGGTGTGAAGATGCTCGAAAATTTGCAGAGTTATCAGCAGCTGATATGAAAAAAGAATGCGAAAAACTGTAAATGTTTAAAGAAATACTTTTATTTTTATTTTTTTTTCTTATCACTAATAAGAATAGGGAAAAAGTAAAACTGATTGTTTTAAAAATAGTTTTAAAATTTTATTATATAAATTTTGTGTATTTTAAAATATATTTTATTTTAATATTATATATATTAATTTTATGTATTTTACATTTATTTATATTTATTTTTTATGTATTTTACATTATATAATATTTTTTATATAATATATAACATATTAACATATTTATATTATATAAATTTAAATATTTAACATATTAAAATAAATGTATTAAATTTTTTAAATTGTACATATATACTATTTTAAATTGTTTAAAATCGAATAAAATTTCTGTATTTTTCTGGCTATCCGATTCGATTTTAGAAAGCGTGAAAACGAAGATTGGGAAAGGAAATACAAAAGATTATCAGATAGATTGCAAAGATTGGATTTTGAGAAAACAGAAACTGAAAATGCTATCGTACGATTGCAAGAACAAATTTCATCTCTTAATGAGTTCAATATTAAATTTTGGCTAACCTAAAAGATTTTTTTTTTTACTTTCTATTCTCTTTTATATGGAAATTAAAGGTAGTATGTTAAAGGAATATTTTGGATTTTCAGTGCACATTTATTATCAATAGATGAAATTATGAAGAAGCATGGAGTGGACTATGAAAGACAACGAAATCAATTTGATTCTGAAGTTCGTGAACTTATTTCTGAAAATTCGGAACGATTGGCTAGAATTAAAAATGAATTGGAAAAGTGTAAAACTGAATTGGAGAATGTGAGGCAGGCATTACGCAGTACATTAGCTGATTATGGGACTGAACAGCGAAAAAACAATGAAAAAGGTTTAGAAAATTTAAAAAAAAAGGATTTGTTTAATTTTCGATTGTTTTTTTAAAATATATTTCGATGTTTCTCATCCTAAAGCTTATTTTATCACAGACGAAATTATATTGGAATATCAAAGAATAGAAAAGAATTTGCGAAGTGAACTGAGCACTTGGACCAAAAAATTCGAAGATAAAGAGATCAATTTTATACAATTGGAGCGAAAATGTGAGGAACAGGAAGAAACGCTTAAATTTTTTGAACAATCAGTTACTGAAGTAAGCCAGATTTTCTATCTTAAATATAATGTAATGGTTTTTATTTATTCGAAATTTTTTAAATTTTTAGTTGAAAGATATGAAAATATCAATTCTCAATGAAAACACTGCTTTAAATGATGAAATTAGTTCATTACGAGGCCAATTAATGGATAATAATGAAATATTAATGCAACAAAAAGAAACTGAGCAAGGTTTTTTGTTTAACCACTTTGCTTTTTGTAATTATTTCTGCTTGAGAAATTGAAAAAAAATTTTGTTTTTTCATCTTTTTTTTCAGAATTGAACAAAAAAATTGCGGGATTATTGTCAAAAATGGGAGAAAATGATAAAATCGCTTTAGATATGCGAAATTCTTGGACTGAGGTCCAATTGCAGTTAGATTCGGTATATTTTATTATATTATTTTATATTAAAATGAAATTTGAAATTTTTTTTAAAGCTGGTCAGTATTCGCTCTTCAGGACATAAGCTAGGCAGTTTCTTAACCTTAGATATACAGGTAAGTGGCCAAATGGCCAACATCACCCAGATTTTTGGATAGATTTACTTCTTCAAAGTGAAAATTGTTTATTTTTATCTGAGAAGAATTGAAAATAAATGTTTTTAGACAAAACATCAACTTTATGCTGCGCAGAAACAAATTTTGGCCAGTAAAGAAGAGTTTGAAAATAGTATCCGTGAAATTTCTATTTTGAATGCCGATAAAGCTATGCTGGTCAGGTATGTTTATTTATTTTTAAGATATTTAAAGTCATAAAAATAAATTTAATAACAATATTTTTAAAATTTTTAAAATTGAAAATTCTTTTGAAACAATTTTTATAATTTAATTATAATTTCAGCGAAAAGCAAAAGCAATATGAAGAATTTTTGATAACGAAAAATTTAGTTAGTGATTTACAGAAGCACATTGCATTACTCGAGGAAAATACAAAAACATGTTTGTTGCGGGTAAAACTTTAATTTTTTGTGATATTTGCTAATCGAATTTAGTCGTAATTTGTTGGATTTAGGAGAATGCTGATCGCGATACTATTGAAAGATTGACGTCAGGTGAAAAAAATTTGAGGAACAGATTAAAAAAAAGCGAAAGTGAAATTGATAGTCTTAAGGGTTTGTTAAATTTTTTTTCTCTAAGTATAATTTATTATTGAAGCTGATCATCTGAAGCTGAAACCATTTCAGAGGAATTATTGCAAAAAGATGGGAAATACAAGAAAAAAATTGATGATTTGATGGATCAAATTGATCAGACTAAAGAAAGTTTCAAGAAGGAATTGGAGCAAATTAATGGAGGACATGATCGCCAAATGAAACGATTAGTTAAGGAAAAGGTTCTCCATTATTCTCATTTATTTATTTTTTACAGTAGTATTTTCGTAATATTTAAGATGGTTATAACATTGTTCAAAATCAAGCGTGATTTTAGCAAAGAGAAAGTAATAATATTTTTTCCCTATCTCGGATATATTTTTTGCCTCTCATGTCTGTTGCTGTTTTTTCAAGAATTTTCTCCAAATTTTTTTGCTTTAAGCAAAGTAATACTTAGGATTTATTTCTTTTTTTGACTATGCGATATTTCCTCTCGTAATTTTTTTTATTTTTAATTATCTTATTTTCAATTATATTTAATCGGATTTTATTTCATTTCATCAGGAAATTGTGGAGAATAAGTTAATTGAATCTGAAAAACAAATTATGCAGCTTGCTGGAAAATTAAAACATGAGGAAACAAAAGCTGCAGAACATAAAGTAATGCTGGATGAAATGAACGATACGACAAGGGATGAAGTTTTTGAATTGAAACAGCAGTTACAACAAGCTCATTTGTTATATAATTCACTTGTGGAGGAATTTCACTCTGAAAAAATCAAGGTTTATATTTTATGCTTGAAATATTCCGTAAAAATTTAAAATTTTCAAAAAAATTTTGTAAAAAGAGAGAAAAAGCTGGAAAATAGACGGCTAAATTGGCTAAAAAACGGCTTTTAAAAACGGCTTGTTAAATGTTAAATTTAAATGTTAAATTAAATGTTAAACGGTTTAAATGTTAAATTTTATTAAACTCAGTCAGTAGTAATAATACTTATATTTCTTTTTTATCATTCATTCACTTTTGATTTTTTTTTGTTCTTTTATTTTGAAATTTTTATCTTCAATTCAACAAAATTATTATGAGGATCCAGTCGAAAATTTTTTCATGATCACTGAAATGAATTTGAAGTCTGAGAACAAGTAATATTATTATTCTTTCATTAAATTAAGGCTAAAGATGAACTTGAACTAATTGAACAAAAATTGGCTAAAGAAGTAAAAATGCATATCGAGAAGGACCGAGATTTAGAAAAGGAAAGAAATGAATTAAATGCTAAAATTGATTGTTTGGATACTGAACTAAATGTACAGAAGAAAATCAGTCGTGAATTGGAGATTGATCTTGAAGATGCACAGTAAGTGTTACTTTCCACATTTTTTATTCACCTTGACTTATTTTCGATTTAATTTTCATATTTTTAAATTTGTTTAAAAATTTACATAAATTTACTTAAATTTTATCTTCTTACTAAAAGTAATTTTGGGAATATTTCAATTCTTTGATGAAAAGATTCGTTGTTTTTCTATGGGAAAATCTTTTGTTTCCTTTTTTTATTCTTATTTTATTTTATTGGTTTTTATTTTATTTTTATGTTTTCCATAAACTTTACTTTGTAGAAATACAATTAAAGTGCAGCAGGAAAATTTTGATCGTGAAAAGCAACAACTTCGTGAGAAAATAAAGAGCAGTGAAAGTTCAATCAAACAGATTCGATTAGAACAAGAAACACTTATCTCGAGATGTGAAGATTTGAATAAAGTTTTACTTGCTACGGAAGATCGCCTAATCCGAAGTTTTTCTTTTTCTTTCTATGTTAAATTTTTTTATTCAAATTTATCTTAAATATAATAGATAGTTTCTTAATCCATGATTTTTTCCAAAGTATTTAAGTAATCGCTGAGTTTATTTTAAATCATAGCTTCTTGGTTATTTTCGTTTATAATAAATAGTAAATAACGACGACCAGTACTACTAATAAAAAGAGGAAAATAGTGGTTAACAAAAACTATTAGAAATGGGGGATAGAATGTCTCAGTGGACTATTGCTCAATTCGGAGCGCCGATGCTGAGGTTCTATTCCTCGCAGGAGTAAAGCTATTCAAAAATCCCGATGATACTCGCGACTCACCTGTTTTCGCCAAGGGATTCCCTAGCATATCCAGTGTAACAAACGGGCGGAGCGAGTTTAACCAGTAATAGTGAGGACTCTTAAAAATAAAATTTGATATAATTACTGAAATATTCAATAATTTATATTACTGATTATTGCCAACATTTTGATGATGTGGTAGCACGCCAAAGGCTTTGGCTAAGTCGAGGTATATAATACAAATAGTTTGATCATGGTTTTAGAAGTTTCTGCATGATAACAGTTTTTATAAAAAAACTGTATTAGAAATTAGATTATTCATCAAGAAAGCTGTATAATTTTTACGAATGAATTTGGCTAGAATTTTACTGTTTAAATTATGCGACATTAATGAGCTGATAATCAGATGAATTTGGTTATTTTTCTTGAAATTTGAGATATTATAATTTGCAAATTGTTGAGTGCAGAGAAATAATATAATAATATGATATAATATAATATCGGGGATATCATCTGTCACATAGCGAACGAATTAGTTGATTTTCTTATTTTATTAAATTATTTAGAAACGGAACGAACGAATGATATTGAAAAGGAATTAAGGCAAGCGGAAGATCAAATTCATGCTCATGAGATGCGAGAATCGAGTATAAAAGATAAGTTAGCTACTGTCGAGAGAGAGTTGCATGAATTTAAGACACAATATGACTATATGCGATCCAGTCTGCATGGAGCAAGTCAAGAAATTTCTGGTACTTCTTTGTATTTTTACCGTAAATATTTTGAATTTTTGATTAAAGGTGTAGATGGAAGGTATAGAGTTTAGACAATAATATATTGGATGAGGCGATATGGCACAATACAAAAATTACATTTATGCAATAAATTTTTTGTGACTACTATTCATCAACCTATTAATATCTGTATGAAAATTTCAGACAAATTTTATTTTACCAGATATTTCAGAAATAGAATACGATTATTCTATAATAAGACAATTTGAATAGGCTTATTTTCAGCATTAAATGATTCATTATCAGAAGCGAAACGAGAGATTTCTGTATTGAAAGTGAAACTAAATGATCAGGAAATTCTTGTTACGAAGCGCGATTCAGATATAGATCGTCTGAAAAATGAAGTATGGTTTGCTTTTGTTTATAATCGTTCTTAATGTTAAAAGCCACTTTCATCGTGTATATTTTCGTGTATATATTAGAAAATTCAGTATTTAGAAAAAGGGTTTATATTTTATATTTTATAAAAATATTGAATTTTATCAAAGCGCTTTAAATTGGAGAATAAGCGAATCGAATTGGAACTAGCGGATAAAACAAGTGAATCAATCACTCTTTCCGCGCAAATCAAGCAATTTGAAAAATCTCAGCAAAAAATATTAAAAGAATTAGAAGATGAGCGTGAAAAAGTATTTTTTTGTAATTGTAATTTTGTTATATAATCTCTATTATATAATCTTAGACTTAGATTTATTCGAAATAATTTAGCTTAGATTTTGACTTGGATTTTTATTTGCGGCAGTTGCTGTAATTTCTTTTAGTCTGTTGGTTGCTAATTATTAAAAAAAATTTCTTAAGGAAGATGTTTTTCCAAAGACAATTTTTTTTCCCTCTCTTTTGTATTTTCTAAATAAGCTGAATAGACTGCCTACTGATGAATAAGCATAAAATTAAAGCATTTTCAATCGTTTAGAATTTGCGGAATGGTACATTGATTGAGTCTATGAAAACGGAAAATGAACAACTTTCGCGTGATTTAACGCTAATGAAAGATTTAATGGCGAAGAAAGTTGCATCTGGTCAAACTGTTTTGAACGACGTAGTTGAAAACTATCGAACCGCAGAACGAGCTCGCGTTGAAGTTCTACGCGAAAAAGAAAGCCTTTTAGGCGAAATTACCGCTTTAAAGTAACTTTTTTATGAATTATCAATTAAATCTATTTTTATTATTCTTACTATTCTTACTATTCTTTATTATTTATTATTTATCTTTTTGTGGTATTTTAGTCGTTAATAATTTTTTTTTGTGCCAAGCGAATAAAATTTCTTTTTTGATATTTGATTTACCAATAAAGTATTAAATTTTTCTATGGCGATGCATATACTTTACGTAAGTATATGTCATTGATTTGATTTTTTTTCGCATTTGAGCAATTTCATATTTAAATTTAATTTTATATTTAAATTTTTAAAGATTTTGAAATTTTTATTTTAGTTCTATTTGCTTTTAAAATTTTCATTTTAATCAAATTTGATTTTAAAAAAATTTAATTAAAAACTATAAGTTTTTAAATAATATTTAAATTTAAATTTTCAGAAAAAAATGATTTTTTAGATCAAAGTTAGAAATGCAAATGGCACGACAATATGATTCGGAACAAAAATTAAAAGAATGTGAAACCATTCGAAATGAACAATTTTATAAACTTTGTCATGTTGAAAATGTGGCGAAAAAAGCAATAAGTTTTGCAAGTCTGATTTGATTTTTAGCAATCTTATAGGCTGATATAAATATATAAATATATTTAAAAAAATATATTTACTGGTGGCTGAAATTCTCAATGGAATTTTTTTTTCCAGCATCAGCAAAATACAAAATATTTACAGTTTAATTCACAGATAAGTTTTTATATAATATAACTAGTTTTATAACTTAATTTATTCATCCTATAGAATTTTGCAATTTATTTAGAAGCGCAATCGTTTGGTGGAGAACTTGATACTAAATTAAGCGAAATTAATTTGTCGCCCACTTCAAGTAAAACTTTATAGATTTCTTTTTATCTAGATTTCCTTGAAATTTAATCAGGATCAAAAGGCTTAGATTTTAGAAAAAAATTTAAATAAAATGATTTTAGATAATATAAACCTATAATTTAGATAATATAAAAAAGATAACGTAATAAGTTCAGGTGCAATGCCTCAAATTCGAAGTATCTCGTCACATCCTCTTTTATCGACGCATATTGATGAAACGGGTGGAGATTTTTCATTAAATAATCAGTCTCTCACTTCTTCAATAGAAGTAACATTTAAATTTTTGAAGAACAGAATCGACGAGCTGGAAAAAGAAAAGGTTTTCACTATTTTATATGTTTTTTTATTTTATTTCATATACTGTGAAATTTTGAAATTTTTATTTCTGAAAAAATATTTATTTCAGAACGATCTTTCTTCTTCACTTCTCAGACTAAAAACGTCTTCAGAAAAGTCGATTGAGGACTCTAAAGAAACTTTAATTAAAACTGATCAGTTACGAAGACATGTTGTTGATTTGGAAGATGGTATTTTTTATATGCAATTTCTCTTGTATTATAATTAATTCTTACAAATCTGGTGAGAAAATTTTATTTATGGAAAAAAAATTTTATAAAATTCCTATCTTATAGCTATTATAGTTTTGTTCAATGGATTTTGCGTTCAAGAGCAATTAAATTAAATTTATTTCTTATTTCCATAAATTTGGACCTTTATAAAATTCGCTTAAAAATCTTGATTTAATAATTGATAATAATAATTTAATTAATAATAATTTTTTCAAAGAAAATCGAACTCTTTCTTCACAACTGGCTAGTTCACGGCAATTGCTTATTTCTCAGGAGGAGACATTAAGGGCTAGAGATCACGAATATAGATCATTGAAAACACGCATAATAAGTGCCGATCTTCACACTCGAGAGAGAGAGGCTCAAATAGGGGCTCTTAAAGTAAATCTTTTTTGTTATCAAATAATCAGTCTCTCACTTCTTCAATAGAAGTTATTTGAAATTGAAACTTATTTGAAATTTATTATTGAAATTGTTTCATTTTTCATGATGCGGTATAGTGATAAAAATTTGGGAAGATAAATCATGGTTTTAAAAAGTTTTATTTTTAGTTTTTTTAATTTAATTTAATTTATTTTAATTTTTAATTTTTTGTTAATTTTGCTCATAAAAATGAAAGTTTTTGCAGGAGGAAATATTGTCACTCAAACATGAATTATCGACCTTTCAAAATGAGGATAAAGAATGGAGGAGGCTTCAGTCAGCTTGGGAAGAAGAACGCAATTATCTTCAATCGCTTCAAAAGAATACGGATAATCATTTGCAAAAATGTCGTTCGGAATTAGATTCGTTCAGCATTGCCAATGAGGTCTCGCTATATTTTTTTAACAGTTCATTATTAGTAATTATTCAGGTTGAATAGTATTTCCTTACTTAGCCAGTTTTTAATATATTTAACTAAGATTCCAATAGGCCTTTCGTTGATAAATTATTATTGTGGGATTGATATGATTTATAATAAATAATACACTATATCTCTATATCTTTTATTTAGCAATTTTTTAAATAAAAAGTTCAGAAATTACAATTACGCTTAAACGAATCAGAAAGAATTCAAACAAAAAATCAGCAGAGATGTTTCGAATTGGAGGAAACGGTGCAAAAATATCAACGAACGCTTGAAAATCTTCAAGTAGCTAACGATTTTTTAAATAATACACTGTATTATACATTGTAATTTTCATTTTTTGTCCTCATTTTCTTGTTTGGGAAAATAATAAAAATAATAATTTTAATAATTAAAATAGTAATTAATTAATGAAGATTTAATAATGAAGGTAAATAATGAAGATTTCTTTTGTTGATATTTTTTTAGGAGATCAATCATTCAGCGGTAGGTTAATAAGCAATCTGCTTTAAACGCTTGTAAAGTGGCTTTGAACCCATTTGGTTTCATTATTTCATTTAATTTACGATTATTTGTATATTAAAGGAAGATATCTTTTGCATTAATTTTTTGCATTAAATTATTCAATTTTTCAGGCTAGTGAAAGTCATTTAAAGATTGAGATGGACAGTTTGAAAAAGGCCAAAGTGGATGGTGCTGAAGATAAAGTGGAGCAACTACAACGAGACTTAGAACATTGTCAATCGAAATTAAGATCAAATGAGATGGAAAAAAATGGACTAAAGTTTAAATTTGATTTTAAAATTTAAAAATTAAAAATTTTCTTAAATGGTGCATGGGAAAGATTTGCTTAGGAAAGATTATTTTAATCAAATTTAAAATAATCAACTTTTTGTTTCAAAAATTTTTTTATAATTTTAGAAATGAACTTGAAGAAACAAGGAATCGTTTATTATCTGCATCACAAAAATTATCCGCATTAAAGCAAATGAATGAAGAAATCACGTTAGAATTGAACAGACTACGCGAACGTATCATTGTTCTCGAAAAGGTTTAGTAAGTTTGAATCAGACATCGTATAAATTTTTTTTTATAATAAATTTAAATAAATAAATTTTTTTTAATAGATTTTTACTCATTCATAGCTTTTTATTATAGTATGAAAATGATAATCGACTTTTGGAAAATGAAATGAGACATGAGTTGGAGAGACTAAGAACGGAAAAATTGGTGTTGATAAACGATATTGATGAAATGAAAAGACGTATTCAAAAAGGAGATGTGGAACGTCGCGAATTTGACGCATATAAAGCTCGTCTTGAACGTGAACGTGCAGCTCTAAAGAGTCACGTTGAAGCGGTAATTACATTTTATATTTATAAAATATCCTTATATTCTTTTCTTTACATTTTTTTAATTGGACATTGATAAATTTTTTTTTCCAAATCAAGAATAATTTTAGTTGGAATTGAATAAACAGAGAACAGAATCAGCTTTGCGGAAAATAACAACAGAACGACAAGCACTAGACAAATCGCTTATTGCAATGGAAAAAGAAAACATGGAACTATATAGAAATTGTTCACACCTTCAAGATCAGGTTGGTCATAATTTATGCCAAATTTACCTCTCCTTTTTCAAATTTTTAGCGGGGAAATTTCTTTTCTTATATGTCGATCAGTATTTCAACGACTATTTCATTTGGTATCTTTCTTCGATTATGAATTTATTCAAAGATTTGGCATTTACCCATTTTGTCCGGGATTTGATATTAAAAGTGGAAGATATAGGTAGATATGCTATAGGTTTATGTAATTTAATTCTTAGTTGTCTACTGAGGTAGTTCAGAATCTAGTAAAAACAAATTAAACAAAGTTGCCCTCGGCATTATTTAGCAAAGATGTATATTCCGTCCATTCTGACAAGTATAATAGTTTCAATTTTGTTTTTTTTTCTTTTTTCTTTTTCTTTCATTTATGTTTATCATTAATATTTTATTTTATTTATTTATTATGCTGGTTCAGATCCATTTTGTATTTTTACGACTCCGATCTGCCTTTTGTCTTCATCGTTTTTGCGATATTCCCATTTGATGAAAGTCCTGCTTTATTTTTATTATAATTAATACGTTCTATAGTTCCATAAGCAAATAAATAATTTTGCACTGATTTTGTATATCTTTATTCATATTTTTTTTTATATTTCTTTTTAAAGATTGCACAGTTGGAGAAAGAAAATAGTGGAAAAAGAGTTGAAGAAATGGCAAACCGAATTCATTCGCTAGAGGTACAGTTGCACCGTTGTAATCAGGAAAAACATCAAGTTATTTTTAACATAATGTTTCACTTTAAAGATTTTTTATGATAGTTATTGTTTTAAATGGCGAATTTATTGCACTGTAAGAGAAATTGTTTTACAACTACCTCATTAGCCATTTTAATCAAAAAGTGAGCGAAAAATAGCGAATAACAATTCGAGGCTATTTATAAAAACTTATTTTTTTAGTAAAATTATTATTATTCGGTAAAAAATAATTTTTAAAATTACAGTTAGAATGCGTTCGTGAAGAGCGCGAACAGGCATTTGAACAAAGAATTAAAATGTTGGAAGGGAAAAACATCTCTCTAAAAGAACACTTGGATATTGAAAGAAAAAGACGACGAGACTACGTAGAACGAGCTACAGCTCATGATCGAGGTATTCGCGAAATTAGGACAGTTTTAGACGAATCTATTGCATCATTACATCGGATAGCAATTGAAGCGCCTGCTAAACAACGTCGCCGTACGGATGGTGGTTTACGTAGTAGGCCACTTAGTGTTCCAAGAACTCTTCGCACTTGATTGATTATCGCTTACTTGCTTATATATATTTAATAATTTTATAATATTTTTTAGTTGTAAAAAATTTGTAGAATTATTTGTTCGATTTATATTTCATATAATTTCTTTACAATTAGCCTTATCCGATAGTTTTTACAGTAAGTTAGGGGAAATTCTGATTTCTCTATTGTTTCTAGAAATATGATGTTTGATCTCTTAACAATTGAACATATTTGTAAATATTATGTATTATTTCATTAATATTTATATATTTTTCCAAGCACAATAATATTTTCATTTTTAAGATGTTTTATATTTTGCAGATTTTTGCAGTAGATCTTTTGTCTTCATCTTTCTATCATTTTTCATCGAAAATTGTCTTTCTTTGTTATTACACCGCCATTTTTTAGTTTATTTTTGTATAGTTATTGCGCTAGTTAGATTTATATTTTTTATTTCTTGAAATTCAGTTAGTTATAGTTTACGGTTATCAAAGTATATCAATCAATGTGATAAGATGATTTTCATTTATAAATTCATGAAAAAATTATTGAATTTTTGATTGGAAATTATTGAAATTTGAATTTTAATATTTTTTTAAAAATTAAAAATTAAGATTAATCAAGATTTTTACATTGGTTTTACATCAAGATTTTTAGAATTTTTTTGTTCATTTAAATTTGATTGAATTTATTTCGTTTATTTTTAATATTCATATTTTTATAAATCTAATTATATATTTAAAAAAATTTTTTTAAAGTGATTTTATTAATTATCCGATTCGATTAATCTTGAAATGAAAGCTTTATGTGTGCTATTTATAATTTTTGTTATGGTTGAAATAAAGTTCTTTCGTTCCAAATAGCCTAATTCTTTATTAAATCCGTTTATCCTAAAAATTTTATAAGTTATTCCAAAAATTATTGAAAAATTTATGATCCACGAGTGATTCCGAATTTAACTATAATAACTATAATAAATTATTATTAATTGTGAATAGTTGTAAATAGTTGCAAATGAGTTAATTAGGTTTTTTCTTTTTTTATAAAGCAGAAAATGAACTACAACTAAACTACAACTACGTACCGAAAATTTTTAATTACTAAAACATTATAGTGTCAAATACAATAGAAATTTGTTGGACAGGCAAAATATAGTTACAATTTTTTGCGGCCAAAACAGCGGCATTTACTGCGGCAGAATTCATTAGTTTATAAAGAGTTACACATTTAATGAGTTTATTCTCTCGAATTCCTTCAATGAATCCTAAAAGTATCTTTAATGAGATAAATTTATCAATTTCTAAAGTATTTCTAAAGTATGTGAAATTAGTCAAAAAGTTTAACAAAATTTCTTTTTTCATGTGTAAAATACTCTGTTGATTGTGACCAAATAAATATTTTTGAATTTACCTATTTTCAACAATTCCCAACTATTCCATAAAGATCCAACCAGTAACACGGGCATATTTAGAAGCATATCCTAAAAAAAATACTGGATGAGGCTGGATGAGATTGAAAAATAGAAAATAGAAAATGAAAATTAATTAAGAAATTAAAAAAGGTTTTATATTACTGTGAGGAAACGGTGAAAACAAAAGGACGCTATTGCACCTGTTTTCCACTTTATTTTGCTCTATCCGCGAAGCCTTTGTTTTTTCCCTCTATCGAGTCATTGGTTCTTATTCAGTCTCTCTCCTTTTCTTAATATCTGATTATCATATGAATTCTTTTGAATCTGTCGATATATATTCTGCTTAAACCATTTGGCGCCTTCAAGTGAACATGAAAACTATCTCATAAGTTTCTTCTTCACTAACTGTTTAGAAGTTTTGCTGGTTTGAGTTCAGATCTCACGCAGTAGAAGTAGAAAAAGAAGTAAAAGTAGCAATCTTTTGGTTCCACCGTTTCAAGATAATATCAGTGAAAAAAAAACATAAAAAATATACTGAATCGCAATTCCTTGAAATCGCTCTAACATGAGACCCAAGAATTTTCCCCGCGTCATAGAAAATAGATTGAATTAAACGATCGCTAGAACCTTCTAAAATAATGCAATAAAAATTGTATAACTTCAGTCTCTTACATTTTTAAGTCTCAGTGGTCAATTAATTAAATTTACGATAGGAAAAAATAATTAAGTAACAACCAAAAAGTAACAAACCTGTCGCAAGTGTGTTTGTAAATGATGCAATATTAGATTTGTCGAATTTTGAATAGAGTAAATCGAGCACTTCAATTTTATCATCAAGACTGAAGTGTTTCAATAAAAGTTTCTTGGCTAAATCCGTTGAATGAGGAGATTCGACTAACCCATCATCATGGTCGAAGATTTTCCGAATCGTACTGAAAATATTTCCAACAAATTTTAAATTCTCCTAATTTTATTTTTAATTGTATTCCATGGAATTTAAAGAATAACTGACTATAATAATAAAAATAATGGAATAAAAGATAAATAAATGAATAAAAAAATTCCTATAATTATTAATCAAGCGAAAATGAAAAGTGAAAATGATCGAAAAAGCGTAAGCTTAAAGCACAGGACGTTTTTACAAAAGAATGTAATCGGAAGTCCCTAACTTAACTGAAATCCAAAATCCACTTCCACCATCACCAATTTGATGACCCCATCCACCAACACCATGAACTGTACCATCTTTTTTCAATAAGCGACATGTCGATCCAGTGCCAGCGATTAATACCACACCTTCAAATATTTTTAGAATGCAAAAAATTTCTAATATCCTCAAAAATAAAAAATGTACCGCTATCGAATGCTGTTTTCAATGACATTAATGAATCGGAAGTAAGATAAAAGGATGTAGCTATATCCCCATAGTTTTCATTTAAAAAATTGACGATAACTTCATTTCTTGCCTCATCTTCTGCACCAGCCATACCCATTGCCTAAAGAAAAATTATCCTCAATTGAACGCAACATCAACAAATTAGGAAAAAAAATTATCGCAGATTTATGGTATGGTGAACAAGTTAGTCAATTACAAAATAACTATTTCGAGGAACTAATAATTATGCAAATTTGGCTAACCACAGCTCTAAGTGGTGCAGTAACATTAATTTCTTCCTTTACGGAACGAATCCAAGATACCAACTTTTCGATAGATCGCTCAAATCCATCAAGACATATATTTATTCCACTCGTTACCCATTCACCAAGGGTTTTTCCATCTCCATCAATTATAACAAGTTTCGACTGTGTTGCTCCACTGAATTTCTTTAACTAATTTTTTAATAATTTTGCTTAAATATGATTAAAACAGGAAATTTAAAAAAAATAAAAAAATTAATAGTTGAAAATGCGAACCCTTCGATTCCAGCGAACATTTTTGATGTCGTCTCGTATACTGAAATAATGCTTTTTTAAATAATGCAATTAATGCAATTAAATGCGCTAACACTCGTTATGTAGAATAATAATTAATGATAATGATAACCAACAAATATTTCTTGGTCAATATAAATAAAACGAAAGCCTTTTCGTCTTATAAACAAGAAGCTTCTTTTTATAAACTCATTGCCGATTAAGGAAATGGTCGATTTAAAATACCTTAAATCCACTCTAATATGGAATGGCCAGGCAAAAAAGAAATCACAATCCGGATAATGGCAGCTAGAAATGCCTTCTTCCGATTGACGAAATGGTACATTTAATAGAATAATCACCGAGTGGATTACATTCACCTTGTTCAAAGAAGAGCTTTTATAAGAAAAAGAAGATAATCAACAAGTTTTAGGATTAAAATATATAAAAAATAAAATTGAAATAAAATTATGTAAAAAAAATAAAATTGAAAAAATTTACTTTGCTTAGAAAAAATAAAACCAATACGAAATGTGTGTAAATCTGTTTGAACAGTTCGAACGAGAGAACAATGCAATTTTTTTAAATAAAGTAAATCTTCAATACTCCAATCACTGCTAAAATTAAAATCAATATAATAACAATGAATTTATGAATTAAATTTTCGAAAATAAATAAATAAAATTTTTTCTATTTTAATTTCATATATAATAAGGCAAATTATTTCCATCATTTAATTTCGTTGGCTTATGAGAAAAATAAAATTTATGAAAAAAAAAAGAAAAGTGAAAAAAAATGTAGATGAGTTATAGAGGTGGAAACCATTATTAATCCATAATTAATCCTTCGTTCCTCTTTCCGTTCACATATATAAAAAAAAAGATGGTGAAAGAGAAAAATAAATCGTACATAGCAAGAAATAATTCTCTTAGGTGTCTAAAGAGTTCATAACAGTTCAAAATCGAAAAAAATAAGATGAAAAAAAAATTAAATATGAAAATTCGATGATCGAAAATATTATATACTCGACTAAACTGATAAAATTGATAAGCATATGTGACAATTTTATCAATGATATAATACTGTATCAATCTGTTGCAATGGTGTCCTTTTGCATTTGGGAAATACACTACTCAGTATAGATTTATAAATGGCTTATAACTGCCATTTCTTTTGTAATTATATTATTTTATTATTATTATATTATATTATTTTTTGATTCATTTACCAAAATTTTTATGATATTCCTTATGCTTATTATTACTTATTGGATTAGGTTGATCACTGCTTATCATTATGATAAGCATTAAGATTAATAGAAGCGATTAATCTACCTTTAAAAATCTAATTGGTGCTAGCTAATTCATTTGTATTTCTACTACTCTCAGGTATCATTCTCTAATAAAAATTTCTCAATGTATTATCAGCTAACTGAGCGAATCAAATCGGAAATGATCTATTTGTAAAGTGCTACTGATGAATTCTTGCGCACCATTCCGTCTTTTATTATTTTATTATTATTTATTATTACTTATTATTTATTACTATTTATTGTTTTTCATGATTATTTTTTATTATTATTCATTATTACTGTTTATTATTTATTATTAGTATTATTAATATTATTCAAATTCACAAATAAATAGTTAAAAATTTTTAAACTGAAAATTATATTAGAAAATAATAATCTAATTTTGTTGATCTGATTTTACTAAAATTCAAAAAGAAAATTAAACTTAGAAACCTCTGCGATTGCTAGAAATCTAATTGTGCCTCTAACTCAAATTGACTAAAAAAAATATGATGAAATTCATCGATTTAATAAAATCTTTAATCTATTTCCATTAAAATCTTACTCTCTTTCCTCAAAAGCAAATATACAAATCGCTTGAGGAAAAGCACTGAGGAATAAAGCAATAGCAGTCACTAAACCTTCAAAAACGACTGGATCATAGAAAATATCCGATCCCAAAATATAATCCAAATGCTTCAAATCTTTTATAAGATTGTTGATTCCATCAATATCGTTCCAGTCTAAACCCTGAATAAATTTATTTCTCACTATTTTTTAATTAAATTTCTTATTAATTTCAATAAATTTTATTTGACATTTTTATTCCATAATTTCTGAGGAGGCTAATTCAATTAAAATAAAATAAGGAAAATAAGGAAAATAAGAAATATAAATAATGCATAATTTCGTAAATTTTATATAATATTTATACTAAAAAATTGCTTAAATTAAATTAGAAAAAATTAAAAATTGAATTTCTTAAAAATATTAAATTGAAATATGCATTTAAACAACAAATAAAAAACAAAAAAATTACATTTAATAAATCTTTCATTCACTAAAAAAGTTTAAATTTACACATTCATATTTAAATTTGTATAAATATAAAATATTTAAATTTTCTTATTTCGTTTACTCGATGATTATTCAACGAAGAAAAGAAATTCTCAAAATCTTATTAACAGAACCGGAAAAAGCAGACGTCGCCTTTTTAGTGACAAAAATATGATGAATGATGAATTAAATGAAAAATTCACTTTTTATTTCAAAGTGCAATAAAATTAAAAGAGAAGAAAAAAAAAACGAACTTACAACAACTCGAAAAGAAGTTATTGGAATGTTATTGAGAGAACAATTCTTTTCCAATAATTCCAATGCCTGAAACGAAATTGCTAATTTTTTTAATAGAAAAAAACTGAAATTATAATTAATTTTTTTAAAGGAACAAATAGAACTGGAATGTGACCATTAATTATTTGTAAAAAAAATAGAAAAATATATTATAAATTAAAATATATATTTTTTATTTTTTTCTCTCCTAATCTTTTTTTTAATTTATCTTTAGTATAAACCTATCACGATTTCAAAAATCCAGCTATTCATGGTGGAAGAGTCTGGTTTTGATTCGTATGATAGTACCAGATCAGCGGTAAATATGGTATGGTATAAAAATATAGTACAAGCAATCCATAGTAAAACGACCTCAAAGCTTGAAAATAAGATATGCTTTCGAAACGGAGTAGCTGCTCGAAATCTGTCAAGAAAAATAACTCTCTAAACAAGCGAAGATGTGTTAGCTGAGACAGAGTATAATGTCAGACCAAGCGATCACTGTCCACACTCTTTCAAAATATCACCTGCTTGTCAGAGATCTGCTTTCCTCATTTCAAGTCTTGAACGATTGCTAAACCTGGTTCCGAAGTTGCAGAGATACTGGCTTTATCATTATGTTTCCGATAACTCGGGGCGAAATGGCTTTTCATATTTGAAAATGACCACTCCGCTTTGACTGAATGGAAGTCGATAAACATCCCTATGTTCGCTTCAAGGAAAAATTCTGCAATATTCCGGTCATTGTATATGTTCCAACTTTATGTGCAGATGACCACGGCAAGGATAAGTTCTATGAGGAACTTCATCTGTTAACAACATCTCTAGCGAGAGGCATTTAGGTTACGGTGTCGCTATAATGAACTCGATAGTTGACAAATATGGCATCATGGCATTGGGCTCGATGGGGCACTGGAAACGTCTTCGCTTCCCACAAAAAGCATGGACTTTCTGTCATTAACGCATCGAAGAAGATCACGTGAAACTGGTCACGTGAAACTCTCCGGATAACCAACGATCCAACAATCCAGACTGATTAGTTATTCGCAATAAGAGCACAGATGGTCGTTCCTATAACATGCGCTGAAATTAGTAACATTCATGGATCAAGCCCATGTTATGCAAGTAGGCGAAATTTCTATTGTTTTTAAAAAAACTTATCCATATGATTAGATAATATCATGAGAAAAGAGTGCAAAAAGAGCTTTTTTTTTTTAAAAATTTAAAAAAAACGCAATATATACATATTATAGACGTAGTATTATTGTAGAAATTTTATTACCTATTGGTTGAAATAAATTTTTCGAGGGAAAAACACTTGAAAAAAAAAAAATTTTCTTTGGAAAAATGATTCAAAAAGGTATAAACAAATGATTCAATGATTTCTGAACAAAAAAGGTTTAAAATGAAATAGCCAAGTGAGACTGCTGCTTAGACATATTTGTTTCGTTATGTTCTACTTCTGCTCCTAGTTGGAATTCAAACTAACAACAACAACAAAAGCAAAAGCTAATAATTGGGCATAAATCTTTACTTCTATAAGTGATTTTCATATGATAAAATTATCTCATTGATCAGTGAAAATGAGTGAGCTAAATAAAAATGAAAAATGATATTTATTTCAAAATGATAATGATAATCAATTAACTTAATAAATTAATCTTAATAAAAATATCATAAAGTATAAAAAAAAAAAAATAAAATCTTATTGAAATATATTAAATAAATTTCGATAAACAACCGCGCTCGAAACTTGATGAGAAAAAAAAAAGCAAAATTCTCTAAATTCTCCAAAAATTTTAATCTTAAATTCTAATCTTAAAATGCTAAGAGTTTCCTTTTTCAAACGATACGCATGATTTTGGCTAATTCCACGGACAATTCTATAATGGCCCTATTTTAACATAAAGTTAGATGGTTATAAAAGTTTTATAACTTTTATAAAACTTGTAAATATATAAATATAAATATAATAAAAAATATATAAAATATATTATAGATAATACATAATAAAAAATATAATATATATATTTATATGACATAATATAAAGAATATAAAAAATATACAAAATATATATATATATACATATATATAATATTTAATAAAAAATAAAATAAAAAAATAATAATAAAAAATATATAAAAAATAAAATAAAAAATATATAAAATGTGTGTATATATAATAATATATAATAAAATATATATATATATGTAATATATATATAATTTTATATATAACAAAATACAAAAAATATAAAAATATATAAAATATATATGTAATACATAATATATAATAAAAAATATAATATATATATATATATTACATAATAATAATAAGATGCAAAAATAATATATAAAATATATATATAAACCATAATAATAATAAAATATATAAACCTGAGAATTTTGTGGATGTTCAACGAAGATGACTTTTTTGGCTGAACATTTCAATGCGATTATACCGGGTATGCCAGTCGCGCCAGCGCCTAACTCAATTACTATCTTCTCTTCTAATTTTATATTTCTCGTATTTAAATATGAACCTAAAAAAATATTTATTTTTATTTATTGATATTTTGATTCTTTTTTAAAATTTAATATAAATTAAGAGAGGAGAACAACTTTTGCTTCGCCTCTCTTTACTATTTTCTATTATCGCTTAACGATTTTAATGGAACGGAAGAAGAAATTTTTGCTAGGAAAATAGAAGAAATATAGAAATACACTTGAATCGCTAATGAATATTTTCTAAAGGTAAATTTATTCGCGTCGAATGTAATAGCGCTCGCGGAATGGCGTACTGAAATTACCGTAACGACGCACTAAGTACCATTTGAAATTAATTAAAATTTATTAAAATTTTGAATAAAATATATGGAAAAAATAAATAAATAATTTAAAATAATTTATTAATATTTAATTATTATTTTATTATTTTATTATTAATTATTATTAATTAATATTTATTATTAATTATTTTATTATTTAATATTTAATGATATATTTATATATAATTAATTAATATTAAAAAATATTTAAGAAAAAACCTAAAACATTGCTGCATTCCCAAACATTTTTCCAATAGCCTTCGCCGCCACTCGTTTCTCCCATGTTTTATGAATCCAAAATTATAGCGACCGACTATTAATGATTTTTGATCGAATTGTAATTGTCGTATAAATTTGAGTTCCTCGAATGAGATAGCTGTGGGATCTTATTTTTTTATTTGTGTGTTGTTTAACGAAATTTGAAGAAGGTGGGGGGTGGGGGGGAGGGGTGTTGGTGGAGGGGTGCGGGGTATGGGGATTTTTAGTTGTATTCATAGTGTCATCAAACACCGAGAAGGATATTCTTTTTTTAAAAACCTATGGAAATCATTCGCAAAAAACGAAGGCCTAAAGGCCATCGGCCCATATCACTGATTATTGAGAAATTTCGACCGCCCTTCGATGAAAATCTGTCGTCTAAACTAAATTAATGAGGAATTTTCTCAAACGGAGTTTAAAATTTTCCTTAAAATTCTCAAAAGTCTAATTAATAAAATAAAATAAATTTTTACTGGGAATTAAAGAAATTTATGCCGTTCTCGCGCCATTTCTCTCTATCTTTATCACCGAATGATTATAATTATCAGTGTTTCACATGAATGATAATCAACGAGTTTTCATATTATTTCTTGAAATATTCGACTTTGAAAAATTATTTTTATTTTTAATTTAATTTAATTATTTTTTATTTAAAAATTTTTATTTTTTAAAATTTTATAAAAAAATATCAACTTTATTAAAAAAATTTTCCTTTTTTTGTAGAACATTCAGTTAAAATTTCCCAAAGATTTTATTTATTTCTTAACCAAGTGTTCCACCGCTAATTTAATCGTCCAAAGCGAAAAAATAATAAAAAAAAGTTGTTTTTTTTTTTCGTGATTTTAGCGAACTAATGATGAAAGATTTTTCATATGGTGAATTTCCTTTTCTCTATTCTATTTTTCTTATAAATTTCATAAAAATTCATAAAACTAAAAACGTTTCACCACTAAAAAATCGAAATAATAAAACTAAGAAACTTGTTTCAATAATATTTTATTCAACTAAATCCAAATCCATAAAAAAAATTTAGATAATTATTTATTCATTTCTTATTTTTGTTGATATAAAAATAAGAAAAACTATATATCAGTTGGCAATTTATTCTAGCAGTTAATGCTATAATTACGAAAAAATTTATGATAAGATAATATTTGATAACTGTCATATCACAGGTGATAAATTATGATTTTCTTCTTTTCATAAGATTATCAGTGATTTATTTTCATGCAATATATTGAAGAAATAAAGTACCAGAATATAGGGAAGGATGTATCTAAAAATTTTTAAATATTATTCTTAATATGAAAAGAAAACGTTTATATACGGTCAATCAATCCAGACAAAATATATTAAATTAAAATCTTCTTCTTCTAACAGCTCTCACCATTACTGGTTAGGCCTATTAAATTAAAATGAAAGAGTTTCATGCTGAAATATTCGAGTAGGTTAGATAATTACCATAAATAGCTTAAAATCAACAACACTGTTATAAATATTATTATTAATATTTTATAAATGATTCCCAGATATTCCATGTGGAATGGAAATTTTTATACACTCTATTCTATTACTTAATATTCTTCTTATAAAACTTTCCTGCGTTCAAATATTTATTTATTATATATAAAGGAGTATGACGAGTAGCTTTTTTACCCTTTATTACATGAAATTACGAATTACCATGGCCTGATGACACTTAACAATAACTCCAAAATTTATTGTAAAACATATAGAAATTTATCATTAAACAATTGAATTATTTACAATAAATCAAGGAGTTGATCACTTCTTCGATGTAAAATAACATAACAAATACGTACGATTTTAATCTGAGAAACTTAAATAGATTTTTCAGTGATCATCAAATATTTGTTTGAAACCTGGAAAAATTGCAAAATTAGAATTAAATTGCAAAATTATTATACAAATTAAATGGAAAAACTATAGTAAGTGATTGTCGAAAAATTTCCAATAGAAAGCAAACATTTTCAAAATTGGCATAAAATTATTTTTAAGAAAAGAAATCGAAGAAAAACCAAAGAAATAATTGCTCAACTACCGCATCACTGATTTTCATTGTTATCTTTTGCACTGTTTTCTTTTGTATTTCCATCATTGGTATTATTTCCATCCTTTCCACCATTGCGATTACCACGACGTCCTCGTCCTATTAATAATAAATTTAATTAATCGTATTCACAAAAATATTTTTAATTCTTCAAAGAGGAAATTTCTTTATTTTTAAAATTCTTTAAATTAATTTTCTTCAAATTATAAATTTTAAATTATTTGTTTTCATGCCAATGAATAAAATACAAAAAGACACCCATATAGCGCCCTCGAAAACGGCCACCTTTGCGTTCTCCTCCTCCGTCGTCATTATTGATATTTTCGCCACCTTCCGAAGCAGTTCGACGCTGACCACCGCGCCCACGTCCACGACCGCGACCACGTCCACGACCTCGACCACGATACCCACCACGTCCACGTCTTCCACCTCCCTCTTCATCTCCCTCTCCCTCTCCCTCTGATGCGGCACGTCGTCCACCACGACCTGGACGAAAACCACCATAATATGTACGTCTACGATAGCCACGTCCTCTACCACGATTATCCATTCTAGTAGCAGCATATCTCGAGCCTTCTACGTTTGTACCGTTCGGACCGGTTACATTTGCAGCCTCTGGACCTTTCTGACCTTCCACTACGTCGAATTCGACCTTGAAAAATGATCGAGTTCCATTGCATTCATTCAAATAAATGAAAAATTCTTTTTTTTAATATCATATAGGCGCATAAAATATTATTTATTACCTGTTCGCCATCACCTAATGATCGAAGATATTTATTAGGGTTGTTTTTAGTTACGGCTGTTTGATGTACAAATATATCATCGCCAGTATCAGAGCGGTTTATAAACCCGTAGCCGTTCTTGACATTGAACCTAAAATTAAATTAAAATAGTTAAATGAAGAAGATTTATAACTACGATAATAAATTAAACCAATAATAAAGAAAATAAAAAAATCAAAGAGAAAATAAAATAAAAACCATTTCACGGTGCCCTGTATATGACGCGCCATAATTCGTTTACCATCTACATGATTTTCGTCATTCAGTTGTACAGGTGGTCCAGGCTGCGCGCCCTCAGTTTTCTATTTAAAAAACCATCAAGAAATTTTCAAATTAACAATATATTTTTTTTAATAAAAGCAATAAAAATACTAAAAATCCTAGAAAAAAAAGAAATGAAAAACTCAATGGCTTTAGAAAAAGAAACTCATAATTTTCACAATATTTTCATCAATTTTTTAATTAATTTTATTTAAAATTTTTAGTTCTGTCTAATTTACCAATTTTCTAATAAAAAAGGAAATCTCATAAAAATCGAATTTTCTTTCACTTCAATATAGCTGAATTACATTTTACACATTATATATTTTTATAATTTCATTTATTTTCATTCAATTTTAATTTTTTAGAATTTCCTGGGATAAATTCTTGGAATAACATGCTTTGGAATGCTTTATCGTTTCTTTATTTTTCTTCTTCCCTTAACTTTCCTTTCTTTCCTTTTCTCTTTCCTCCGCAATTTTCATCAGTATGCATTCTTGTCCAATCATTGCTATTTCTTCGCAACTTATCTTTTCTAGCAAAAAACGCATTTCGCTATAGATTTCCTCCTATCATCTCATACCGTATCATTACTTCTCATTTCCTTCCCACTAAATTTACCTCTTTCAAATTAATTCTCTAAAAATTTCTGCGATTACGAAATACTAAATGTTGTTCACGCGAACGAGAAAAATCAAATACCATTTTGAATTTTTGAAAAAAAATTTTTTTCAAAAAGAAAAGAAAACTAACGGCGTTGTTGTTGTCAGCCATTTAGATCTTTTGGCTTGAAAAAGATGTTACTTTTTAATAATAAACGGGCGGCTGAAAAATAAAATTTCTTTATACTTTCCCTAAGTTCCGTAAGTAAAAAGAAAAGAAAAGAGTAGTCGCGTGAACAAGAAATTATTTCTTTAAATAATTTCATCTAAAAAAAACAAAAGCAAAAACACCAAAAACAAAAATTCTTAAAAATTTTCCTAAAAAATATTCCGTTCTTTGAAATGAATAAACCAAATTATAGCACAGAAAGAAATTATCCAATTCAAAGGCCAGTGATAAGGATTTGATAAGAAGCAATGCAGCATATATTATGGTTGTTGATATTACAGTGATAATGATGTTGATAAAAAAATTTTCGAATTTTTTCATTTATGCTCTTTTTTTCGTATTTACTGTATTTTATTATCGCCGCTCCTTATTAGTCGTTTTCCTTATTGCGGCTCCATTATCTAAGCGCACGCCTGCGCAAGCTACTTGGCCAAGGGCCTAGGCTTAGGCCTCTTTGTAAATAATTTTTTTCCTTCTCCAATTAATATGTATTTGATTGAACTATCGCTAATCAAATAAACTATACAAAATAATAAAACATGAAAAGATTAATTATTAAAAAAAGTTAGAAAATTACTAAATTTATAAATTGATAAAATATTTATTGGAAAAAAAAGGTGCCAATTTTTCATGCCAATTTTTTGCGATTCCTTTACAAAATTAAAGGGGTCAAAAGGTCAAACGAGGACGGCACAAATCTAAAACCTTAAATTTGCATATGCAAAAATTTGCCAACAGTTGCTACTATCAAAAAACGCGAATCCAAACGCAACGCATTAAGCCCCAAACAATGACATAGTTAAAAGATGAGTGACTCAAAATGCGGCCCCAACAATGTGATTTTACGGCCCGACCTTGATCATATTTAACGATCGAATTACGAATGGGAATGAATGTGCTAAGCGATATTAGAATTTCGATAGGTTTCGCCGTCTCGGTGGACCGTTTATCCGACTACTAAAAAATCTATTTGGAAAAAATCTGACAAATAAAATAATTTTTTCTTTTTGTAAAAAGAAATTTTTTTAAAAAATATTATTTAAAAATAAAAAATATAAATAACAAATAAATTTTAACAAAAATTTAAATAATTTTAATTTAGCGAAAAAAAAAGAAAAAAATAATTTAAAATCTAAAAATAAATGAGGAAAATACTAAGAAAAAATTCGATGAGATATTTTGAATGTTTTTTTTTTCATTTCAAAAAGAATAAAAAAATCGCTATAAAAAATTTATTATAAAATTATTACACGTCAAATAGTTCGATTTTATACGTTTTAAAGAATTTCATTAAGCCAAATATTGGCTGAAAATTTGTCCGAACCGATAAACGAGCCAACGACAGCCAATGGTGAATGCTCTTTTAGCAGCAAAAAAAAATAGAGAGGATAACGACGACGACGACGACGACGACGTTGACGAGAGCAAATAACGAGAGAACCTATTTGCCAGGCAGTTCGTACGGTAGGTATTTAGCAACAAATAATAATCGAAAAATAATAGTTTTTATTTTTAAAAGAGGAAAATTTCATTGATATTATGAAATTTTTAATTTTTTTTAATTTAAAAATTTTAAAATCTTTGCAATAAAATTATTAAAAATTCGTTTACCGTTTTAAAAATTATTCTTTTCTTTAAATAAACAAAAATTGATGAAAAATAAATAAATAGGAAAATTTGCAAAATGAATCATTTGAATGCAGAAAATGTGAAAAATTTTTATTGAAAATATTTGAAAAATTAAAAAAAAATTTTTCAAAAATTTTATTTTAAAACTTAAATAAAAGTAAAATGATTAATTAGTTAAAACCAATAATTTAAAAAGAAAGAAAATTTTTTTTTAAAGTATAATTTAAAATCGAAAATACAAAGAATTTGTTTCACGTCTAATACGTTGTAATATATTTATAAATTTTAAAATTTTAGAAATAATTAAGAATTAAAGGAAGGTAAATTGTAAAAATTAGCAATGGAATGGCTTAGCGTTTTGTTGCTTTCGAGCGTTAATTGTTAGAAGAATTTTCGCCATCGGCAGAAATAAACCTTTTAGTAAGTCGAGTAATATTTTTATTACTGAATCACTTGTATATTTTTATCATTGAGCGACTCTTCCTGGCAAAACTTGTCGCGTTCAATAAACCAGTGCAGCGAATCTGATAAGAAATTTTAGAAAAAAATGATTATAAATTATGTTATCATTTATATAGCAATTAATTAAAATGAAAATTAATTAAGCAAACGATTGTTTCTTTTCGTAAATTTTTCCATGATATTTCAATACGATTATTAAAATGAATTTCTATTTCTAATTTCTATTGAACTATAAGTGCAATTTTCATTAAACTAAAATAATTCAATGATAAGTGGGCTTATTTAAAAGTTCTCACCATACCCCATCTGTTATCACTAAACACATCTGACCACATCTGACGAGTCTAAAAATTTCAATGGTGATAACCATTGAAGAGGATTGAGAAGTATTGCAATTTTTTATGATAAGAAGTAGCGAAATCTTTGCATAAGGCCGTAGCCTTGTGAAACATATCGGGAATGCGACAATAACCGCTTATTATGCTTAATTTAGAGATTTAAAGATTTTAGCTGCATCATTATTCTGGATAAGTGAGTGAGACTCAAAATCGTCGCGAAATGCCCGATATCTGCAATATTTTCGTAGAGATCAATTATCAACATAGTATCATAAGAGATTCACTTTGAATGTTCTGTAATATGCTCTCATTCATCAGAATTTTTGCTCCAACTTCATAAAAATGAAGTAAGCTCGATTCATTTATTAAGAGAATTTTCTCAAAAAAGCGACATACGCATAGTCTTAGAAAATTTGGATAATCGCATCTGTTGAAGCTATTAAAGTGGAATCTGCGATAGACAAGGAAGGAATTCGTTACGCCATCTTTTCATCAACTAATATTTTCTGCGTTGGAGAGAAAATCGAATTTTAGGATAAACGACGTTCACTACGCTCTCATCGAGCGCTACTGGAATAATCTCAAAAATAAAATGATTAATAATGTCACTAATAATTTTAAAAAAAAAAAATAAATTTTTTAAACAATTTAATAAAGACATTAAGAAGACATATTGCACGTTAAACAGTGTAATATTTCTAAAATTAACATTTAAATATTAATATTAATATTTAAATAAATTGCAAATTTTATAAAATCATTAATGGATTAAAGAAAGCTAATTTATATAAAATTCGATATGGAATGGCTTTTGTTATTTTGAAGCAATGAGTTGAGTTGTTGAGTTTTTACTCTCGACAAGCCATATAAGCCTTTTAATAATAGCCATTCTAATGATATTGGTAATCATTGGACCAGTATAATTATAACTGAAAACAAAATCCAAACAGCAAAGCAGCTAATTAACGAACGCAAAAGATCGCCTATCCTCTCGAAATCTTTTGATCACATTAAACTGAACGAATCAGAGCAGAGACGAATAATCAAAATGATCTTGGCAGCAAATACATCGGCCGATATATATTGGCCATAACTAAGAAAACCCATATTTTAGATCTCGAGGCTAAAGGCGGCTCTGAAGCCATGTTCTAACAACAAGTCGACCGGCTTAAACCGACTTTTACTTTACTTTTATTTTACTAGAATTACTATTGTCTAGAACATGTGACAATATCACCTTCATATAATGCAACTATGATGGATGCGTATTGTCGCGATTTTATTATCAAATAAAGATTTAATTATCAAAATTTGAGGCTAACACACCTAATATTATGAAAATTAGTACGAAAATTTTACAGTAATAGTAGGGCAACGATACTTTTTTAATGGAAGAAAACTGAAAAAACTGAAAAAACAAATATTTTTTTAAGCTTTTTATTTTTGTCACAGTAGGCATATTCATTGATATTATCTAATCTAAAGGTATGGAAACGCCTTGTCTTTGTAACTATTGCAGCTAGTTAACCTATATAAATCTTCAAGAAACCTAACCTATACTAACCGATGAACATAATACTAACCGATTAAATATCCAAAATTTGATAAAAAGTGATAAAAAGTACTCATAAAAGAAAACGATGTAGTGCATTATTTACAGTTAAATATTTATATTCAGTGATAAGATATATATATATGTATAATTGAACTTAAATGGATATAAGGCTAAACGATAACTTAACAACCTGGTTGATAGCCTTTAAATGAGTTACTGGCACTGGTTTAGAAAACTTTTTCTAAAAGCGCTTTTTCTGGATCGCTCTGTTGGCTTGGCGATTTTTATCAAGGAATCACTTGACGATAGTATCACCAGGCTTTTTTTTTGATGTTTATTATGTTGCGAGTTCAGAAACCTAATATCGACGCTTCTAGAGTACCAAATCAAAGAGGCCATTCTAATCTTCTTAAATAAATATATAATGATTTCAATATTTCAAAATTTTTTTCCAATATTTCTCATTTATTTCAATTTTTTTAAAATAATTTTAAATTGTTAAAATTAAATATCGCATCAATCTATTTGAAAAAAAAAAAAAAAAATTTTTATAAGAAATAACAATAAATAATTAAATAATTTTAGTCAAAAAAAGAATAAAGGAAACTAAGGTTTATTGTAAAAGAATAAATCTAATATGAAAAATTCGACTCAATTGTTAAATAAATTCAGCTGATCAAATTTTTTAGCTAAACAGCTGAGATAGCAGTTATTCACATCGAAATTCATTCACATAACATCGCATCTATCTCTTCGATTTTTATCATCGAAATTTCCTTTCATCAGCGATCAATAATAAAAAATAAAATTTTATAATTTAATAATAATTTTATGAATAAATTATAAACGTAAATTCGTCTCATTCCACTATAATAAGTAAAAATAAAATTCTTTAAATTTCTTAATAAAATTTATTTAAAATTTAAAATATCACTAAAATTATCATAGTTTAACGCTTTCATGAAATATCAAATATTATCACTCTAATCTAATAAAATATAAATTAAACGACTATTTCAATTTCAATTTGCGAACAAATATTGAAAATGTTGGAGGTTCTAAGAAAATGGCTTTAAATAACTGTGACAATTTGTATATGAAATGACCTAAACTTTCAAATAACCCAAATCATCGAAAGATCGAAAATAGTACCTAAAAGAATAAGATAACCATATTTGCATGAAAAAATACATATGAATACGAAGGTCAACGAGAGCTAAGACCAAATGTTTGGTCCTAGAAGAAGTGGTTAATTATGATAATGCAATGTGACATCAGTTAGGGATAGAATGGATTAGTGGGTTGTTGCTCAATGGGGAGCGCCGATGCTGAGGTTCGATTCCCTGCAGGAGTAAACCTGTACAAAAATCCGGGTGATGCTGGCGACTCACCTGTATTTCTATCGCCAAGAAATTCTCTGGCATGTTGCTCAATGCGATAAGCCAGTGGAGCGAGTTTGACCAGTAATGGTGAGGACTCTTAAAAAAAATTGTGACATCAGTAATAATATTAATAATTATATTAATAATTAATAATATAAATATTATTATTATTAAATTACAGTATTAAATTATTAATAAATTATTATTAAAATAAATATTAATAATATAAATATTATTATTATTAAATTACAGTGTTCCAAATTATTTGTTGTCATTTTTTCCAATTTAGAACTATTCTTAGGGTTTAGGGTAGGCTTTAGGCTTTCCTGGAATATTAACAATATTCATCTCAAAATGCAGATACTTCTGAAGAACAATTTATTAAAAAAATGATGATTTCCCTCACAAATGAAAGTTAATATATTATCATCTATTATCAGTTTTTTTTTGAATCTCGGTGTTATTTTATATTAGTTGATTTTATTTTTTCAAATTTTTTTTGGAACTTATCACCAATTCCAAATACTTAATCACAACTGTAGCCAAATAATTATGCTCAGATAACAACTCTTATCACTTAATGAAAACTTAGACTTTACGTCATCGATGACTTTACGTTGACTTCTATATTCAAAAGGATTTTTAAAGGATTAAAGGATATTTAAAAATTTACAATTGTTAACGAAAGGCCACTTAATCACTGAAATAAACTAGAAATAGTGAGCAATGAATTTTTGCCAGATTTTTATTTTATTTTTTTATTGAAGATCGCTCACCATTGTTGGTTAGGCTTTCTCCGCTGACTTATTAAGGCCAGAATAATTTTATCAAGGAATCATTTGGCGATAGAAATACAGATAAATCGCCAAAATTACTCAGAAAGACAGATAGAGAAGAGCTCCAGCATTGGTCCATCGCGATAACGGCTACCACCCACTAAGCCATTTTCAGTCGCATCGCTTGAACTTATTTTTTAAGTAATATAAAACTCATTTATTATTTTTATGCTATATTCAAATGGAAATTAGGATTAGAAGACTAATTATATTAATTATAGACTAATATTAATTATCTAAGATAAAACGACTTCAAATCAATAAAAATGCAAAAAAATATTTATTTATCGAATTAAAAGATCAAAAAAAAAAGAGAAAAATTCGCAAATATGAAAAAAACTTTAAGAAAAATTTGCTTTATTTACCATTTACTTGAAAATTTAATTGCAATTTTATAAATTATAATCCTTTTCATCCTTAATGTTATAAAAAAACGAATATTCCTCCTTTAAAGGTTTTCACCACTTTTGATTCGGCTGGCTTCATTAATTGCTTGAACATAACCTTTTTTAGCACTCACTATATTATTACATATTTTTGTGGTTTTAAGGATTTTTAGGGCTGAAATGGTTGGTGGTAAGCTGAGTGGCCAAACAGGCATGGCAATTTTTTTATCATTAGCCAGCACCGATACCGATTGCAATAGTGTTTTCATCAATGCAATAGACCAAGATATCTAAAAATTAGCTTTAATCTGCTACCTTTAAAATAATTAAAATCCAAAAAAAAATCATAATTATTATAAATCGTTTTATTCTAAATATATAAACATTACTTTTATCATTATCATTATTTATCATTATGAAATCGTTCATCAAAAAATTTTAATAAAAATAAAATAAAAATAAATAATGTAAAAATTAAGTAAAAGTGAAAATTAAAAAAAAGTATAAATTTATAAAATTATAAATTCATTGGTTTTTGTCTGTAATTTTTATGAAAATTAGTAAAAATTAGTAAAAGATTTTGTAAAAATTCTAAATGGAAGATTGAATGCAATAAATGTACAGAAATTTTGCCAATTTTAGAAGTTTTCACACATTTTTAATCATATTTTTCATAAAAAATAGACGAATTTCCTTTTAATTTATCCATATTTATATTAAGGATAAGGATTCTTAAAATGATTCAGTAAAGGTGATTTTCAGTGAGCAAAATTTGTCTGGTCTGATAAATCAGTTGAATAGGCCACGATGCCAAGCAAATACCAAGTCGGAAATGGTGAACGATGAAAAAAAAAAATTTTCATGATTTTTTTAAAAAATATTTTATTTTTCATTATTTATTTTATTGCAATGTATTATATTGTATATTGTAATATATATATTCTAATATGTATTATTAATAATCACTATTATTATCACTATTTTTATAATGAACAATCGTTGTGAAACTATAGATTCAATAATAAATATTTATAATATTATAAATATTATATAAATAAAAAATGATAAGAATGATAAAGAATGAAAAAATGCAATGGAGAAGAATAAAATAAATATTTTTGTTGTTATTTTAAACCGTTTCATTTTTTTTTCAATGAAAGTCATTTATTTCCTATCATTTTTATTATTTTAAGAAATAAAACCAGAAATTATTTTCAGATGTATTTTACAGGCAAATATTTACCAAACAAAACTTAAGAAGTTTATATTTAGGAGTTATTTATAAAATTTTCCCTTATGAAATCAAATTTTCAATTCTGAAATTCGACTTAGGTTGATTTAGGTTGATTTTTGTTGATTCCTAAGATTATTAGCAAATTTTTTAAAAATAATTTTAAATCAATATTTTCAAAATAATATATTAAAAATATAAAAAAGAAAAAAAGAATGAAATTCAAAGAAAAAAAAATTTTAACTTAATGACAAATTACATGCGAATTTTTGCTTAAAATTCTAAAATCATTAAAAAATAGAAAAAAATTACAAAAATCATAGATAAAAAATTTTATAAAAATTATAAATAAAATACATAGAAAATAAAATAAATAATAAAAATACAAGGAAAATCAAATAATTTTGTACAATTAGCTGAATCGAAAAGGAATTTATCGAAGATATTTCGTTGCGACGAATTTATCATATTACATGTCGGCGGTAATATTGTCCATTTCATTGCAAGCATGCCATTTATCGCCTCTTGACTTATCGAAAATATTCTTTCAATAAGCTGCAAAAAAATAATCCTAAAATTGCTCGAGTAAAGAAAAATATAAGACATGGCTAACGGGGTTGTATTAGGACGATTTTGGCGAGTCGTCGTATTCTTTTCATCGTAAATAGCCAACTAAGTCAGCCAAATCAAAAATGGTATGTGTTGTTAGAAGAAGAATGGACGATGTACTACAAAGCCTAGTCGAACTGAAGGCTATTGCTTAGGGAATTAATAGAAATTTTAATATGGATGCTTACCTTTTCGCTGACGATTCCACAATAATGACTATATTCACGTATTAAACAAAACGCTATTTTTTTCAAATAACTAAAATTAATAAATTTAGTGATAAAAATTTATTAATTTATTTAAAATCGAATATAGATAAATAATTTTTATTGAACTATCGACTTATATACGATGATTTTTTCAAAAAAAAAAAAAAGCTAAATTCTAAATTCATATATAACTGAAATTAACTTACAAACAAATATTTTCTACAATAATAAGCGAATTATTAGTAGTCAAAGCTTTAAAACTATTCCGCAATTTGATACTTTCTGGTTGACATGCACTGGATAAATTATAAATATTTGCTCGCCAACATGGAAATTGGCTGCGAAGCTCTATAAAATTTTTATAAATACTGTCAAATAATCAAGAAAAAACAATGTTGAAATGAAATTATATAGACCATACACGATTCGATGAAAAGAAAAATTATTGAGAGTAAATAATTTTCGCCTTGAAAGTTGTAAATGCGCTTGATATGCTTGCTAGAGACTTATTTAAGCGATTCTATAGTCGAAGGAGGGACAAATCTTCATAGGTAGTGCACGGTTAAGTTAGCTGAACCAAAAATGAAGAATAGTATTAGTAGAAATAAAAAATGTTAACCTTCCAGGTTAAAACAAATATCGGCCCAAGGCATTAGACCCATTTTAAGAATTGTGCGTTCCGTCGAACGATTGCATCTGTCGAGACATGCAACAAGCAATTCATTGCTACTGCAAAATAATGGTATAGTATTGATGCTCGAGGCTATAATCTATCATCTATTTTGCAAATATCGTACTTATCAATACTTACCAATTAGTTGCCTAAAATACTTAGGTTGACTGTCTTATTTTTTTGTTTCTTTTTCTTATTCTAACTGCTATCACGAAGTGATTCTTTGATTTTTGGTGTGCTTATCTATACATTTCGGTTTTTTACATTTCGAAATTATAATCTACTTGATAGCGATCTAAATTTAATTAAAGAAAAAACTGATAATTAAGCCTTAAAGAAAAAAAAAACCTTCATGATCTATTTTATTTTTTTTTTTTGTTGCAAAAAAACTAATTTTACATGTTAGAAAACTGTTCACAAAATCAATATTATATTTAATTTAATTATAATTAGAATTTAATTATATTTAATTAGAATTATTGTCCTATTTTAATATGAATTTTTTAATAATTAAATACTCGTATTTAAGCATAAAAAGAGACAAAATAAAAAGAGACAAAATGTTTCATTCATTTTGGAGTACCAATATTGTGGTTGCAAAAATGGCTCTAAGTGACCGAATATTTCTAAGTGATTCTTTGACAAAATTTAGCCTGGTTCATTAAGTCAGATTAACCAAAATATAACTAGAAATGATTCTTTTTAAAAAAAACAAAAAAAATCTAAAAAATATTTTATTGTGAAAGGAGAAATTAGTTAAGCATTCTAGAATTTTTTATTATTTCTTTTTTTCATTATTTTTTAAAAATTTTTTTGAAAATAAATTTATCAATAAAACTAAAATTTTGAGGAAATAAAAAAGTAAGCTATATATTCGCATTCATTTATTCATATAATATTGTTCGAGGTAGAATTAGATTTTTTCGATTCGCTAAAATTCTATTATATATGAAATAGCGATATGCCCTGAGGGAATATTCCTGTTAGCAATGTTTAATATAATTCTAAGTATAAATTTTCAAAATCCATTATTTTTGTTTATTGCTCAATAACATAATTCAAACCTGATATAATCCAGTGCCAATAAAATACGAATCATACTAACTGATGCTTTAAAAAAAGGCTTATCTATTTTTTATATAATAAGTGGTTAGATTTTTTCTTCTTCTTATAGTTCTTACTATTATTGGTTAGGCTATCTTCGCTCGCTACAAGGGTAAGACTTCTTCAAACTGTTCGGTTCGACGCCGTCGCTAGTGATAATAGAAGCCATTCTCTTTTCTATCGTCTAAGTCTACATAAGTCTATATAGTTTGTCCCCATACGTTCAAAATCTTTCCTGATTATATTAGTCCAGGTCTTGATTAGCCCTTCTCGCTTTTGACACTACTATCAGCTAGTAAAGAAATGCGCGAAAACTTTTGTGGTGGACGACGGAGAACGTGTCTTAATCACCGAAGGCGACGCTCTGTGGTAGCATTATTAATACATGAGGTATTTGAGCGAAGATGGATATAATCATATGCGATTTTATCCACTCGACGGATCCGAAAAATATATTTTAGATATGAGTGGTCAAAGGCTGATAGCTTTCTAATATCTTCCACTCTCATTGGCCATGTTTCGCATCCATATAGCAAGATCAAGCGAATTGCAGCCATATGGACGGGGATTTTCGTTTTTATGATAATTTCGCGATGGTTCCATAAAGATCTCATCAATCTTAGGCTTTGTGGACCAGAGAAATTTTACCCGGAATTTTTTTTTTTCAACTGAAAGTACACTATCGCTTGAATTTTTCGAAGACAGGTCTAATTCAAACCTGAATAAAGCCTCAGAATTAGCGCTCTGAAACTATTTTGACTCGGTCTACCTCCATACGAATTTATTAGAACTTCATAATTCATCATGAATTTCACTAGAGAAATTTGTATTGAATTAAACGTTACCTCTCATTATGTTCGTTAGGCGATATCTAATAACTATAACCATATCTTATTGAAAAGCTCCATAAAGATTCAAATTATGCCAACTTTCAGATAAAAATGGACTTTTCTTAGCTAATACTTATTTAGATTGCCACTTCAAGTTGAATCACTGTTCGAATCTCATCATTAAAAAAATCAAATATTGCTATGGAACTACATTTCCAACATATTTCTATTGCTTCTATTTTCAGCAAATGCGAGAATAAATAAATTTGATAAATTAGAAAAGGCAGTTCTAAGAATTCGAAATGCTAGATAATTCAATTCATAATTCAATTTAAAAAAGGGATAAATAGAAAAAAATTATTTATATATATATATATATTATAATAATATTACGAATAATAAAAATTAGTAAATCTAAAATTAATTTGTATCTTAAGATTAGAGCTGAAAAATATATGTAATATTCGAAATTTATGAAAAATTTATGAAAATTTAAGTCAAAGTCATATCTTATCATATCTTTCAGGATCATACAATTTTTTGTAAAGCCTTTTGAGGAATTCACGAAGATGACTTTTTATTGTCACCAAAAAATCGCAAAAATTATTGTACTATTCATTACTCATATCTAACACTGTTGTCATTATTATCGTCAATGAGTTAAGCCAATTTTAGGAATGTTTTTTGGAAAAATATAATTTTTCGGAGAAAATTTTGGAAATAAATTTTAAAATTTTATTTAAAAAAATTATTAATAAACAAGAAAACTTTTCAATATTTTTATCGAATTAGCCGAAATATATTTTTAATGAGCGCTAAACTGGATTATTTGTAGTTGAAAAAATTTGATCTATATTATATGCGAGGTGCAGGATGAAACAAACATGGAAGATGGTTAACCCACTGGCATATTTCAATCGCTCGTTGATAAGCAGCTGTTTCGTTATTTGTTGATCTAAGAAGCGATAGTAAAGGAAATGCGAAATCCATCGACCATTCATTTTCCATCTAAAAATTTCAATTTCAAATTCAAAAAAAAAATTTTTTTAAATTATTTTAATATTTACTTAGGATAAAATGGTATCTCAAGAAGAAACTATAAAATCCGTAAAATCCAAAAAAGAAAAAGAAATTTAGCCACTGATGAAAAGCATTTTATGAGATCGGATTAAGGAATGGAAAAAGTTTGGAGATAATTTTTTGAAATATTAAAAGATGAAATTTTTGCTTAGCCTTAAGCCTTTATTTCTTCTCCAAATAATTTCTAAAAGTCTCTTTTTTTTTCATAAATAAATCTTAAAATTGCCTTCAAAATCAAATTGAAATTATTAATACAGTGAATATTTAAAATTTAAATGTAAAATTTTTTAAATCGTAGAAATTACTATAGAAAGATAAAATATAGGAAAAAAAGAGGGAAATAATCGGAAATTCTATCCAGAAAAATAAATAATTTTCGATAAAAATTTTGTTAAAAATTCATTAAATTTTATAGTTATTAATTTTTTAAAATTAATTTTTTTTCAAATAATTAATTACCAAAATAAATAAATGAAAAGTTTTTTATATTATATGAAAAATAAGAATAACCTGAAGCATATGAGCATCCTTACATTTAAGAATACAATGTGGTACTCGAATATTTTCACAGAATTTAGAAAATACTAATAATAGAAATATATAAGATTGTAGAAAATTTTTGATGAAGAATTGCCTCAAAATTTGTCGATTTTTCATTGCTTTTTCTGTTTTTTTTGCAAGAAATAGAAAGAGATTCTCTTAAATTACCACATATTTATTTCTAGAATACTGGAAATATTATTTATTAATAGACATGAAATGCAAAAAAAAAAAAAAAAAATTAATACTAACGAAAAATTTAAAGCCATGGTAACGCTAATTTTTTTCAATAAATCTTCGATAATTTGTTATTTTTATTATAATTTTCATTATTCGGATTATATATTTTTTTTTTTTCTAAGAATGTTCATTATTTCTTGTTAGACGTATTCTACTGACTTATCGGAATAGACATGAAATTTTGTTAATTGGCGAATGATTAGCGATAGAAGTACAACTATCGTTAAGCGCATTTTTAGAATATCAGTTCATTTCTAGCGGAAATTGAACTTCAGCATCGACAAATGCCATTGGGCTACTATTCTATTCTCATTATTTTAGTGTTTGAAATGGCAAACAAAAATTTGTCCTAATCAACAACTCAAAAATTTGTAATAATAAACCAGTAATGAACCAGTAATAATAATATTGCAATAAATAATATAATTAGATAAATTTAAAAATTATTTCTATAAATAATAAAATTTCGCTAATTCTTAATTCATATTTTTTATATTTTTATTATATTTTTTATTGTATTTTATATTAAATATGGTAATAAAATGATGAAAAGAAAAAAAAATTTGCTTTGAGGTTCATTAAAATTTCTGAACACATTAAGGCAACCATATTAATTTATGGCACTAAATTTTTAGTATTTCGTTAAAATTTAATTAGAGAAGCAATAATAATAAAACTAAATTATGGTTATTGTAATCACTGAGAAAATGAGAAATTTTTTTAATTGATTTCAAAATGACTTTTTTAAAAAAAAAGAAAACTCATTGTTATTCTTTAGCGAAAATCAACCATAATTATTAATTAAATAAGAAATCTTCAAAAAGCTTAAAAGTAGCAATGAATAATGAATAAATATTAAAAAAAGAAAAATATAAGCATAAAAAAGAAAATTTCCAAAATACATTTTTCCACTATAAAAAAGAAAATATAAAAAAAGCCAATCATTATAAAGAAATTTTTATTGAAAAAGTTTAAATTTATTTTTATTATTTCATTATAATTTTTATTTTTTTTTTCTGAAATTGTAGTGGAAAAATGTATTTTGGAAATTTTTTACAGATGAGTCGATAGCATTTCATCCGAATTTTTGGACAGATTTATTTCTGCAAGGAATTGAACCTCAGTATTGGCGCTCTGAATTTAGCAACAACCCATTGAGCCATTCTATACCCAATGACTGGTATTATTGATCTTTTAAAGAAATAACTCGTATAAACCTGTAACTTCTATAAAAAGAAGAGAAACGGCAAATAGTGAGGAAAATTAAAATTTTACAAATATCTGTATGAAAAACTTATAGAAAAGAGATTTTTATAAACTAAAATTTTTTATACAAACAAAAATTCGTTTTAAAAAAAAAAATTTTATTTTTATGAAAACATAAAAATCTAAGAGGATCTCTAATTTCATAAAAATAATTTTTGCAAAATTAATTATGTAATTTTTTAGAAAAATGAATATTATGAATAGACATAAATACATAAATTTGGCTATTTTATTTTTATTTTTTTCTTATTTTTTATCGAAAAAATTACTCGAATTGCCTGCTGTTTCAACTAAATATAAATATAAAAATATCCAAAAATTCTTGAAATTTTTCAATTCTTCAAACTTCGAGAAATTTTTTATGAAATTTTGAAATTCAAAGAAAATTCTGAATTTATTTACTTTTCATTATTATTATAAAAAGTGAAATCGCTAAGGAAACTTGTATTTCTATCTTCAACAAATTCATCGAATCAAAAAAGAATAAAAAAGAATGATTCGAATGTTCAATGAAACTAACAAAATCAGATTGATGAAAAAGATTGAAAAAGATCAGAAAAAAATTTGAATGAAAAAATTAATCAAGGAGAGATTGATGATGGAAAATTTCAAGTTGAATCTTCTTTTTACATAATTTTAGCAGAAGCCAGAAATTTGAAGAAATTTGAAGGAAAATTTTAGCAGAAGCCAGAAATTTGAAGAAATTTTTTAAAAAAAAAACATTAGCAAATAATTGGGTGATTTCTGGAGGATTTTTTTTCGAAACTCAATAAAATATAAAAATTTTGACTTAAATTTTATTTTAACTTATTACTTCATTACAATAGAAATTTTTAATAAAAAAACTGTGTAAAAAATAATATTTAATAATAAATGTTAATAAATAAATAAACAAAAAAAATATAATATTTCTAGTTTCATTATCATAATTACCAGAAAGCCTTTTGAGGATAAAAGTATAAGTGAGCTTCAAGCACTACTCAATTTTGTCTTTTTTGTGGCAGATGTGCTCTCGTCAAGGACAAAAATTAAATATATGATAGCTTAGCCTCAGCATATCACTTCACTCGATTATTCTATCCCTTAAGGCAGCAATCATTTTTATCTCAATAGTTAGAGATAGTTTTTATTGAAACTTTCTCAAATTGTGCTAATAGCCAATGTGTTTGGAACAGAGGAACAACAGGCATTTCTAAAGAAAAGTATTTATTTATTTAAAAAAAAAAACTAGTAAATTATAAAAATTCTTAAAATTACTCAAAATCCTTCATTGTTATCAAGTCAAATATTATTAATTAGATTCGTATATTTATTTAATTTTTCTTTTCTTCAACTAGCAAATAGTGATGCAAAAAATGCGCCTTCTTCCAGTACTTAGTAGCACTAACAAAAAATTATGAACTCTTAAGTTTATCGCGTTTAATAATTCTTAGTTTTTGTTGTAAATTCAGGTCGAATTTATGGTACTTGCAGTAGCAGTTAATGAAAATTTTTCAATTATAAATCAAACTTTCTTTTAACTCCCTCGCTTGCAATGAGCTTAAATTGTGCAGTTTAAGTTTTGACTCTTGAAATTAGTGGTGTACCTCGAATTATGGCGATAGAGCAGTATTTTCAGGTAAATAATTTACTCAACGTATTTACATGAAGTTGAAGAAAACAGTTTTTGCATCCTAAGGGGCGAAATATAAAGTTGAATATGGAAAATTTTCGCCTTGTTTAAATAGATGAAAAAATTCAATATTTTAGAAACATTTCTCTTCTTTAATTATTTCCATTGTGATGACGGAAAACCAAGATGATCATCAACGATTGTACCGAGATCTATGGTACCATTACTACTACGCAAGTTATTACCAATAAATAGTGATTTGTGAAAGATCAAGATTTTTAAATTACCATATGAAAATAATGAATATTACAGTTGGCATAGAAACAAGATAAATAATTTAATTTTTGTGATGTTATAGAACAAAAGGCTAAAGCAATACAACTACTTGTATATATTTAATACTAACCAGTACCAATATTCTATAAATATTATCATTGGTAATCTTAGTACTAACATTCTATAAGTGTTATCATAGTTATCATTGATTTCTATTATCATTAACATCATTGAAGTTTTATTTTTAAAAAAAAAATATAGTAATATTTTTCTAAATGATCCATATAAATAAATAAGATATTTAAAGGAAAAGCATTTATAAGGAAATAAGAAACTATCGAATGACGAATTCTCCGCCTTAGCTTTAGCTGTTGGCTATGATGATAATTTAATTTCCACTGAGAATCTCTCTTGAAAATAATATCTTCCATCACAAAATTGAATTATTATAATTATTCAAATAAATAAATATTAATAATATTTTCTCATAAACCTATAAAAACCTATAAAATCGACAAATTCAATCAATCGGTTGATTAGATCGGTTGATTATTTTTTTCATGCGAATAATTCATGCATTTAATTTTTTTAAAGCGCAAACTAATTTTGGTTTGCCTCGCCCCGCTCGATTGTCGGCTATGCGTTTCAAATTTCCACCAGAGGATCATTTAGTAGTGATGGAATTACAGGTGATTCGATCACCTAATTTAGATTTAGATAATCTTGAAAGGTAAATCGCAAATAGATGCAATATCACATCAAGATCATCGCTCCAAAATGCGAATGATCACACATTGATATGAATCAGTTCTATTTCTATTTTTTATCATAAAATATGAATCTTTTCATAGGAATTTTTTGATTTTTTATTAATAATAATTAATAATTATTAATAATTTTTTATCAATAATGATTTTTATAAAATAAATAAATAAAATAAATTTATAAATAATATAAATAAATTTTTTTTTTAAAATAAATTTTATTTCTCATATTAACAATAAAAATTACAAAAAATTGTTATTTTATTTTAAAAATGAATTAATTCTCAATTTTTTACTATTTGTCGATAATTTATGCAACGCTTTGACGCTTTAAAATAAGTTTTAAGTTGAATTAGTCTAATTTGGGCTTCCAACAAGAAAATAGAATAATAACAATATTCAAAAAGAAGGATTTATTTATTTATTATATATATTCATCTCAACGATTTATCAACTAAATTCTTAGTTTTTATTGGAAATATTGGAAATTTAGGAATTTTTAAAAATATTATATATATATATATATATATATATATATTGTATTATATTATTATATTATGCCTTCATTTCTATTTATATCCCTATTTTTTAGTTAAAATAGCTCAGTGGATTAATGCTCAATTGGAAGCGCTGATGCTGAGGTTCGATTCCTCGCAGAAGTAAATCTGCGCAAAAATACGGGTAATGCTGGGCGACTCATCTGTATTTCTATCGCTAAAGAATTCCCTGGCATATAGCCCAATGTAACAAGCCGTGAAGCGAGTTTAACCAATAATGCTAAGGGCTCTTTAAAAAAAAAGTCTAATATCCTTTATTTTCTAATTTGGTTGACTTTACTGGCTATTAGAAAAGAAGAAGAAGGAAATCTACGTCAAAGAAATCGCTTGAGAATATTATTAGTCTTGAGCACCAGTTTGACTTTGATATTTTACTTTTAATGGTTTACTCTTGTCGAGAAT